CAACCAAGGCGACCAACCACAGGTCCATAGCAATGTCAAGAACCAAGCAGTGAACTAAAGGGAGTGGGTGATCCGATGAAAACCAGCAGCGGAATGAAAGGGAAGTGCTCCCGCGGCCACATGTGAGCGGCAAAACCCCACCCCCAAGCCTCCACCTGGTTGGTTGGCTACCTGGGGGCGTGGCGCAGCAGCCAGGCCAGCTGCGCAGGGGCTGGAACGTCCCCTGCCAATAAGGGAAACGGCTCCTGCTCACAACTCCTCCCAGGCTTTATCTCAAAATTCAAGACTTGGGTGCTCTTGATGTTTGGCGCTTATCGCGATTTTGGCACAAATCAAAGAAGTGTCTTTGGGGCATCACAGGATGTCATTTTTATTGCACACCCATCATGGTTTGTGCTCTTGGGGTTATTGGGGTGGCTAATGAACAGGGCCACTTTCAATCCTGTTTGTGCCTGCAATAATAATAATAATAATAATAATTTATTATTTATACCCCGCCACTCTGGGCGGCTCCCAATCAAGTATTAAAAACAATACAGCGTTAAATGTTAAAAACTTCCCTAAACAGGGCTGCCTTCAGATGTCTTTTAAAGATAGGATAGCTACTTATTTCCTTCACATCTGAAGGGAGGGCGTTCCACAGGGCGGGTGCCACTACCGAGAAGGCACTCTGCCTGGTTCCCTGTAACCTCACTTCTCGCAATGAGGGAACCGCCAGAAGGCCCTCGGCGCTGGATCTCAGTGTCCGGGCTGAATGATGGGGGTGGAGACGCTCCTTCAGGTATACAGGACCGAGGTCGTATATATGAAAAGGGCTGGCCAGCTGGCAAAGCTCAGCCTTTAGAGCATGATACTTTCAATGTTTGGGTCAGGGGTTCAAATCCCACGCTGGGCAAAAGATTCCTGCCTTGGAGGAGCTTGGACTTAGATGACCCTCATGGTCCCTTCCACCTCTACGATTCTACATTGCTTCATTTCCAATCAGTGCAGACCCCTGCTAGAATCCCCCTGCCCCTTTCTGGCCCCACTTTTCAAATAGGAAATGGAGGCTAAGAGCGAGCCGCTTCAGGTCCCCTCCTTTTTGTGCCAGCTGGCCAGATCTGCTCAAATCTAAACTTAATTCGCTTATCACAGCTGGTTAACATTCAGAGGTTTTATGCAATCCATCTGCCTGCTAGAAAGGGCTAAAGGTAAACAGAGTGTGCCGTGAAAGGTAAGCAGGGCAAAGGAGAAGTGACTCAGATCATGGCAGCTTGAGAGCAAATAATCAGCTGGAGAACAGCAAGAAAAATGGGATCAATTTTACACAGAAAGTCCAGAACCTCTGGGGGTTATCATAAGAGCCTGCCTTCCACACACACACAGCCCATTTATATCCCACCCCACACTTGCAATTTTTGGGGTGGTTAACTGTAAAATCCCACAAAACCAAAAAATTGTTGTTGTTGTTTAGTCGTTTAGTCATGTCCGACTCTTCGTGACCCCTGGACCAGAGCACGCCAGGCACTCGTGTCTTCCACTGCCTCCCGCAGTTGGGTCAAACTCATGTTAATAGAATCATAGAGTTGGAAGAGACCACAAGGGCCATCGAGTCCAACCCCCTGCCAAGCAGGAAACACCATCAGAGCACTCCTGACATATGGTTGTCAAGCCTCTGCTTAAAGACCTCCAAAGAAGGAGACTCCACCACACTCCTTGGCAGCAAATTCCACTGTCGAACAGCTCTTACTGTCAGGAAGTTCTTCCTAATGTTTAGGTGGAATCTTCTTTCTTGTAGTTTGGATCCATTGCTCCGTGTCCGCTTCTCTGGAGCAGCAGAAAACAACCTTTCTCCCTTCTCTATGTGACTTCCTTTTATATATTTGAACATGGCTATCATATCACCCCTTAACCTCCTCTTCTCCAGGCTAAACATGCCCAGCTCCCTTAGCCGTTCCTCATAAGGCATCGTTTCCAGGCCTTTGACCATTTTGGTTGCCCTCCTCTGGACACGTTCCAGTTTGTCAATGTCCTTCTTGAACTGTGGTGCCCAGAACTGGACACAGTACTCCAGGTGAGGTCTGACCAGAGCAGAATACAGTGGCATTATTACTTCCCTTGATCTAGATGCTATACTCCTATTGATGCAGCCCAGAATTGCATTGGCTTTTTTAGCTGCCGCGTCACACTGTTGGCTCATGTCAAGTTTGTGGTCAACCAAGACTCCTAGATCCTTAAAGGGCGGCCAGGACGGCCAGGAGACACAACCCAGCAGGCGAAGTTAAGATGACCTAGGAGGGACTGAATTTGCCTGAGGGTGATCTTCTTAAAGGATAGCAGCTGCACAATAAATTCTTTAAGGGCAGTTAACTTTTCTTTGGGTAGGTGGGATGCTTGTGCGATTGTATCAAGCTCTTTGCCCAAATTGGTCCTGGTTGTGACTGGAGCCTCAGTTTTATCATTCGCCAAAGGGACACCAAGCTCCCCGGCCAAGGATGTAAATGCTTGTAGCAACGCTATGCAGTTGGGCGGGTTACTTGCCACGAGAATAAAGTCTTCCAAATAATGCCCCTCCCCTCTGGCACCTGTTCTAAAGTGAAGGGCCCTATCCAGGAATGTGCTAAAGGTCTCAAAGGCTGCGCAGGCTACTGAGCAACCCATGGGCATGGCTTTATCTATGAAATAGAATTTAAAACCCAGCCAATGGATGAACTGGGAGGAGACGAAAGGCTGACTCAGTGTCACACTTCGCTAGTAGGGCTCCCCTCCCAAATCCCCGAATAAGCTTTACCGCTTGATCGAAGGAGACATACTTCACAGAACAGAGTTCCTGAGGTGTTGCATCGTTAAGTGACGTCCCCCTAGGGTAGGACAGGTTGTGAATCATGCGGAATTCTCCAGGGGCCTTCTTGGGGACAATACCTAATGGTGAAATGTGTAAATCCTCAAAAGGAGGCTCCATGAAGGGGCCAGCTACCCTCCCAGCGGCAATTTCCTTAAATATTTTCTTTTTTGCAATTTCTGGCTTGTCCTTTACTGACTTCTGATTAGGGGGGTTACTGGAGCTGGGTGTGAATGACACAGGGATTCTAAAGCCGAGGGGAAACCCATCCCACAGATACCTGATGGCTTTCCTGTTTGGATATAAATCAAGGAGGACTTTCAATGGCTGAAGTTTAATTGGTGAGAAGGCCAGACCGAGGTTAGTATTAATACTGGTTTCTGGCCACACTCTGGGAGGGACTGGGGACACTACGGTTACCCTGGTGGAAGTGCCCCCTGCCGCCCCAGAAGGGCTGCTTACCTTTGAAACAAGTTGTGGCCGGATGGTTGCCCAGGCATTTCCCCCACTCATGCAGGTACTTACAGCTCGGTCACAAACACGTCCCTCTCTTATACTCCCAGCATTGCCGACGCCTTTTTGGCTCGACCTTCCCAGATTTATTGAATGCTTCAATGGTTGGTACGCAGGATTGTATTCCAGACACTCCATCTAGCATTTTGGAGCAGCCGGGTACATCTGCCTCCGGTCTGAGTAGTGCGCAGCTGGGCAGCAGTACAGGAAGTCGCCCTAGCACACGCTCCCAGTCATCATGTAACAAAAAGTCTATGCTAAGTTCCGCAGGTGGTGGGATCTCTTTCACTAGACCTAATTGCTCTGCTCCACAGCGGCAGGTTATAGATGTTCCTAGTATATTCCATGGAGTTTTCTTGGCAGGGATACTGGAGTGCCTTGCCGGTTCCTCCTCCAGGTGAATCACATTTGGTCAAAACTCTCCACTATGACCTGTTCATCTGGGGTGCTCTGCTCGGCATAGCTCATAGCTTCTCTGAATTATTCAAGCCCCTTCGCCACGGCAAGGCAGTGATCCATGAAGGGGTAAAGTAATGTAGAGACATCACCTTGCCAACAAAAGTCCGTATAGTAAAAGCTATGGATTTCCCAGGAGTGATGTACGGAAGTGAGAGCTGGACCATAAAGAAGGCTGATCACCGAAGAATGGATGCTTTTGAATTCTGGTGCTGGAGGAGACTCTTGAGAGTCCCATGGACTGCAGGAAGATCAAACCTCTCCATTCTTAAGGAAATCAGCCCTGAGTGCTCACTGGAAGGACAGATCGTGAAGCAGAGGCTACAAGAATTTGGCCACCTCATGAGAAGACTCCCTGGAAAAGACCCTGATGCTGGGAAAGATGGAGGGCACAAGGAGAAGGGGACGACAGAGGACAAGATGGTGGGACAGTGTTCTCGAAGCTACCAGCATGAGTTTGACCAAACTGCAGGAGGCAGTGGAAGACAGGAGGGCCTGGCGTGCTCTGGTCCAGGGGGTCACAAAGAGTCGGACACGACTAAACGACTAAACAACAACAACAAGTATATTCCAGCTGTTATATGCTCTGTTCTCGTTCGCTGGCCACATTTTTGATACCCCTGTTTTGTTCCTTGTATTAGTGAAGAAAGCTGGAAACTGCAAGCTGAAAACAATTTTTTATTTAGCTGTAACATAGAATACGTTAACCATGAGCAACCTTCCTCGGATTCTGGCTGCTTCCCTCTCTACTCCAGCCAGGCCTCTCTTCACTCCTTGTTCCTTCCAGCCCCTCCACTCAAAGGAGGCTTTTAGTCTTGCAATCATCCTCAAAAAATAAAATTTCATAACAACTTTGGAAGCAATAAGCAATTGTCAGGAGAGTTCAAAGGCGGACAACATGACCTTTGACTAGAAACCACTAGATTAAAAAGGTTAAAGTCAATTGGCATGGAAATGATTTACCCACATCACGAAGAATATGCACACAAACACTCGTGCTCCTGGAACAAATATTCACAATCCTGATAACCAGGAAATAGATGATTAATTTTTGGCACAGGTTTATTGGGATTAAAGCGCTCAACAGGTTGGCCTTGTGGAGTTACATAATGCAGAAGGTGGGGCCAAATCCAGCCTTGATTCAGTATCTAGAACCCTGTCAACATGGGACAGTTGTCTGCACTGCGACAGACTGGTAGTGACCTCCATCATGGACCCAGCCAGCATTGTAACTTTCCTTCTTGTCATCTGCCTGACTTGGCTCCTCATTTCGGCAGCAGTGAGGAGCATATCGAGCCATGGGAAGCTGCCCCCCGGACCCATGCCGCTACCTGTGATTGGAAATTTCCTGCAGATCAAGTCATCAGAAACTTTGAAATCCCTCCTCAGGGTAAGTTTACTGCCTCTGGGAACCAGGGGCAGAAGGTGCAGTCAATTTTGGCACTCTGCTTCTCAGTTTTCCAACCTTAAATTCAGTTCTCAGTATTTCTGGAGAAATTTGAGAACTATTTTTTTTTTTAATGGAATGGAAATTTACCAGCATTTTAGTGCAAATGTCTCCTTATAAACACATTCCCCCTTGCATGCCCTTTTGACTAATGTGCACATTTTTTCAAGTGATTTCCCTGAATAGTTTCATTTGCATGCACCCTTTCCTGTGGTGTCTTCATTTGTCATTGTTTGGCTAGAGATCTGCATTGCAAAACCTGGATCCGTGTGCTTCAGTTTGTGCATGGTTTTGGAAAGTGAAAGGTTGGTAGATTAGCCTTCCAGTGAAAACGGAACCAGATTTCTCCCCTGGCCCTTCTAGGAACAGAGCACCCAGGAGTCAAAGGAAAATTCAAATAATTGAGATGCACGGAGGCATCAGTTTGCCTCCATCTCTCTCCTCTTCCATCTCCACCCTTTCTCTTGCACAGGAATATGCTCAAAATACAGTGCTTCCCCCACTAAGCATCTCTGTGTCTTCTTTGTGGCTTACTGGATATTCCTGTCTCTCTGCCTCTTACCCAAACACCTTCCTCCATCTCTCGCCTTGTATCCCTGCCTGCCTGCCTCTAGTTGGGAAGATTAGACGACCGTTGCCCTGTCTGTCCAAAAGCTTTTATAAAGAGAGAAACCTTTGATGAAACCTGCCTCCCCTTCTTGTCATACACAAGGGAAGTAGATGGCAAATTTCTCCCACCCGTTTCCAAAGAGGTCTGTGGACAGCCTACAATGACCCATTAATGTTTTAAGATGATGTAAAATGACACTGTAAACTCAATGCTATGTTTATTATTGTTTTGCAGAGACTGCATTAAATTTTATTTTTTTAAAAAAGGAGAGTTGACACACTTGGTAATCTTTTGCTTTGGATCCATATGTTCACCCATTTGCCTGATGCCAGCTTGGTTAAATAACACAAAAAAACCCTGCTAGGACTCACCCACTCTTACCTTTGTGCTGCCCTTTCTTGGCACAGGTCTGTTTTTGAAAGCTCCCTGTTTGAACACTTTCCCTATTTTGCCCTGGTGCTTTCCCCATGAAAACCCACTCTTTACTATGGAATCGAGCAAACTGCAATCCTCAAAAAACCCAAATTGCTGTTTGTTCCTGTTCAGCTTTAAAGAGCAGGTTTTCCTGGGGAAAGTGGAGGTGCCAAAAGAGCGTTACTGCGAGTAGAAGTAACAGTAGTAAATCCACTTGCCTACCTTTGCAAGGTTGTTGTGAGGACCAAATGTTGAGGTGCACTTTCAGCACTCAGCAAGCTAAGCATGATTCTTGCTAACTTCCGAAAGCATTTTTTCTTTTTTTTTAAACAACTCAACAGCATTCCTACATCTTTCACAACCCTCCCCTTCTTTTTAAACTTTCCAACCTGTTTTGCATTCTGGTAGGCAGCATTTAACTATACAGCATTTAACTATAAGGTCCGAATAGTTAAAGCTATGGTTTTCCCAGTAGTGATGTACGGAAGTGAGAGCTGGACCGTAAAGAAGGCTGATCGCCGAAGAATTGATGCTTTTGAATTCTGGTGCTGGAGGTGACTCTTGAGAGTCCCATGGACTGCAAGAAGATCAAACCTCTATTCTGAAGGAAATTAGCCCTGAGTGCTCACTGGAAGGACAGATCCTGAAGCTGAGGTTCCAATACTTGGCCACCTCATGAGAAGAGAAGACTCCCTGGAAAAGACCCTGATGTTGGGAAAGATGGAGGGCACAAGGAGAAGGGGACGGGAGAGGACGAGATGGATGGACAGTGTTCTCGAAGCTACTAAAATGAGTTTGACCAAACTGCGGGAGGCAGTGGAAGACAGGAGGGCCTGGCGTGCTCTGGTCCAGGGGGTCACGAAGAGTCGGACAAGACTAAATGACTAAAAAACAACAGGCAGCATTTTGGAGACTCTAAATTTGGATAGAATCCTAGAATTGTAAAGTTGGAAGGGGGACCACCAGGGTCATCCAGTCCAACCCTGGCAATACAGGGATCTTTAGCCCAACATGGGACTTGAAACCATGTGTGACGAAAAAGTTGGTTTTGCTGGACCGGTTGGATCAACAAGTGTTTCTTTCTTTCCCTGCCAGCAAATGGTTAATGAATGGCAGCCTCCGATTGGCCATGGTTCCAGGAGGGAACATTTAAAAGGAGAGGATTTGAAGAGAGACAGGAGAGTTGAGAGGGTTGGTTGAGGTGGGTTGGAATTGAGGTCGGGAGATAGAGTAGGAGACGGGTTGATCTTGGCTTTAACCATTTGCCTTTGAGAAAGAACTGCGCATTACAGTGGAAATTGTTAAGCAACACTGCCCCCCCCAATGCTCAGCTATGTTTCCCCTGGTGATGAAATACTGGTGTGTCAACATAGTGAGGCTTTTTGTTCAGGTGTTGCTGGCATCATATTTCATAAATGTCTCCATTTATTTAAATATTTGTACTCTTACTTTTTTGTTCAACAGCAGGATCCTCACGGCAGCTATAACTCACCTCGTTGGAGGTCTTGTGGTTTATTTTCCCCTGCAAAGAGAAATGGATCAGGCAGTGGGGAGGATTTTGTCCCCCCCCCCCCCAGTGATATTTATCGAATTTTTCACTTTTATCATATTCACATTTTGTTACATAATTCTATAGCTTATTACTCGATAAGAGCATCGACCTCCTTCCCTCCCTTTTTCTGACTTCCACACATCTTTCTATATTCTTCACATTTCTATAATCGCTTATTTACCTTCTATCTTATTGCAGTATTTCACATTGTTATCGGTAACTCAGTTCCTTATATTTACATTACAAAACATTTCAATTCAAGCCTGCAAACGTTTTCAAATGTTTACAATTTTCTTTCATGTAAAATATAAATTTGTTCCAGTCCTTTTGAAACAGTTTGTCACGCTGTGGGGAGGATTTTGAGCAGCAAAATGGTCCACAAAAAAAAAAAAAAGGATTAAGTGTCTGGGAATGCCAGTCTAACCCTAACCCTAACCCTGCCAAACCCCAGTTCAAATAATCCAGTCAGTGGCTTGGGTGGAGGTACGGCCGGCCGAGCGGACCGCGAGTGAGCAGGCTTCACTCCAGTCCGCTTGAGGTGAATATTGTTAGGATTTTTATCCATCCGTGCTGCTCCAGTAGTAGCACTATGTTTCGTATATCACATGAGTGTCTGAGAGAGCGTGAGACAGGAAGTCTCAGTACTGTTGGAGTACTGTTGGAAGTTAGTTTCACTTCTGTTTGTGATGCTGTTTCTGTGTTGTTTAGTCATGTCCGACTCTTCGTGACCCCCTGGACCAGAGCACGCCAGGCACTCCTGTCTTCCCCTGCCTCCCGCAGTTTGGTCAATCTCATGCTGGTAGCTTCCAGAACACTGTCCCACCATCTCGTCCTCTGTCGTCCCCTTCTCCTTGTGCCCTCCATCTTTCCCAACATCAGGGTCTTTTCCAGGGAGTCTTCTCTTCTGTTTCTGTACTGGTGCTCAAAGAGCACAGACATGCTGATGGATTCTGTGTATATAGGTAAAGGTAAAGGTACCCCTGCCCGTACGGGCCAGTCGTGTCCGACTCTAGGGCTGTGCGCCCATCTCACTTAAGAGGCCGGGGGCCAGCGCTGTCTGGAGACACTTCCGGGTCACGTGGCCAGCATGACGAAGCTGCTCTGGTGAGCCAGCACCAGCGCAGCACACAGAAACGCTGTTTACCTTCCCGCTAGTAAGCGGTCCCTATTTATCTACTTGCACTTGGGGGTGCTTTCGAACTGCTAGGTGGGCAGGAGCTGGGACCGAAAGACGGGAGCTCACCCCGCCGCGGGGATTCGAACCGCCGACCATGCGATCAGCAAGTCCTAGGCACTGAGGTTTTACCCACAGCGCCACCCGCATCCCCATCGTAGTTTTAGAACTACGATTGACTCTTCTTCTATGACATGCCAGAAGACAAGTGTGTTCCTCTCAGGAGGGAGGGGTCGCTTATCCCCGGTCTCTCTCGACTGAGGGAGATTTACGGCCAGGGAGGACCACCGGAGAGATACTCCTGAGTCTTGGAAAGTTGGTGGCCTTCCCTTCTGGTGGTCTCTTGGGAGTCGGGGGGGGGGTCTCCGCCTGGGCATGCAATTGTGAGTTGGAATATCCTTTCTTTCAGTCTGAATCAGTCCAAGCCCTCCAAGAGCAGCAGAAAACAAGCTTGTTGCGTCTTCCATGTGATAGCTGTTTAGTTGTGTCTGAAGAAAGCTATCATATCATCTCCTGGTCCTCTTTTCTCCAGGCTAAATATGCCCCTCAACCATTCCTCATAAATAAGGCTTGTCTTCCAGACTCTTGATCATCTTAGTTGCCCTCCTCTGTCAATATCCTTCTTAAACTGTGGTGCTCAAACCTGGACATAGGACTCCAGGTGGGCTCTGAACAAGGTGGAATAAAGCAGTACTATGACTTCCCTTGATCTGGACACTAGACTTCTGTGGATGAAGCCTAGAATTGCATTTTCAGCCTAGAATCACGTTTTAGAGCCTTCTGGGTCAGAGCCATTTCAAAAGACAACATTAAAGCCATTTCTGTCCACACACCACAAGAGGGTTTGGTCAGAAATGGCATTTAACTCTGCAGAACTGTCCCACGAGCATCTTGACACTTGCAGAGCCAGTCTGTGTGGGACATACCAGTCTCAAAATTTTATCAAAACAGGAATGGAAACTTGCTTTCATGCATTTTGTCCCCTTGCTTGATAAAGTGCATTTTGGTGGCAGGTAGAGGCCCTCTGAGCATGTGCCGAAAGCCTCCTGCCTGGCATATCTCTCCTTCCCACAAAATAAGAGTCTGAGGGAGTTCAGTGAACATATTTTAACACAGAGATGAATGTTCAAACCGCCCTGTTGGATCAGACAAAGGCCCAGCCTGTTTCTAACATTTATGCTGTCGGCTTTTGTAAGAGTGCCAATGAATTGTAAGAAAAAGAAGCAGTGGATTAAAGACTGTTCTGTTTTTTAAATTTTAACAAGTAGCCTTTGGCCTTTCTCCTGTGCAGCTGCGCGACAAATACGGCCCAGTGTTCACCGTCTACTTTGGAAATCGCCCGATTGTGGTCCTCTGTGGACATGAAGCTGTGAAGGAGGCCCTGATAGACAAGGCAGAAGAATTTAGCGGAAGGAAAACCAACCCCACGCTGCAAAGGACCTTTGATGGTTATGGTGAGGAGGAGGAAGCCAGGGTGGTCTGACTGGCAACACAGGAGTCTTGTGTCTCCTGTTTCCTGGCTGCTATTCAATCCTTCTCCCCTTTCTCCTCCCCATACCTGCAGGGGTGGTGTTTTCTGAGGGAGAGCGCTGGAAGCAGCTGCGACGCTTCTCCCTCACAATCTTGAGGAATTTTGGCATGGGGAAAAAACAATTGAGGATCGGATCAAGGAGGAAGCTCAGTTCCTGCTGGAGGAATTTCATAAGACCAACCGTGAGTAGGCCAAGTGAAGGGCAGGGAAGAGGAGGTCAGCAGCCCCACCAGGCTGGGCAGAAGCACGAGCTCTAAAGCCCAGACAGGCTGGGGAAGGGAAGCCTTTTTGTCCCAAAGGCAATGAGAATTTCTGGGCTCAAGAAGGATAACGGGCAGGGAGGGAAGAGCACATACATAGCCAGAGAAGTTCTTCATTCTAGTAGCTTGGTCAGCAATAGGTATCTTAAGTTCTGGGTGGGTACTGCAGATGATCTTTTGAGAATCGTTTGGGAGAGGACTTTGCAGGTGTTCCACAGTTCCTCACACTTCCCAAGATATCTTGGCCCCTTCAGCACAATGCGTCTTCCTTCCCTGGCATTGCAGAGAAGCCTTTCGACCCCACCTTCACCCTCAGCCGTGCCGTCTCCAACGTTATCTGCTCCATCGTCTTTGGCGACCGCTTTGACTACGAAGACAAGGATTTCCAGGCCCTGATGAAGATGATGAACGACAGCTTCCGGGAGATGAGCACCGCCTGGTCTCAGGTACCCAGTCTCAAAGCAGACAGAGCACGAATCCATTTCCCAATCAGACACCCTCCCAATATTGTTGGAATGGAGCTCCCATCATCTTAATCATCTCTGAGCATTGGCCTTGTGTACTGTGCTCTGTGCCTGATGGGATTTGGAGTCTAAGCTCATGTGGAGAGGAGAAGGGCACCAGGCTGGACAAGGGTCTGAAAGCCAGCCGTAGTTTATAACAGCTACTTATCATCTAGTGGGGCCTCCTTGGCTTGCAAGGAAGCTCACCGGACCCTCAGGAGGCATTCCTGGTCAGCTGCCGGTGCATAGCTGTCAACCGTCCCTTATTTGGTGGGAAAGTCCTTATCCCAGCACCGTGTCCCACTGCTGTCCCTTATTGATGATGTCCCTTAAATTTCCTGGGTTTCAAAGGAAGCAGCTCCTCTCCCTCCCTCCCTGCCAGCCAGGGAGGAGGAGGCTCCAACTGTGTTGCTTGGCTGCCCGCCCCGCCCCCCTCCAGCCTCTTCTCACCAGCCTCGGCCCCCAGGAGCCCCTCCCCACCGGGACTGAGGAGCCTTGAGAGGAGAGCGAGGGCAGCCATAGAGAAAGCAGTTCAGAGAGAGGAGGAGGCGGAGGCGCGGGCAGGTGTTCCAAGGGCTAACCATAAAGGGGGAAAGCAGAGGAAGGACCGCAAGCGCTTCCCACATAGATTTGTAGTGGTAGACTAGCATAGAAGGTCTGATCTGTGGATTTACTTCGGGCACTATTCCCCCCCCTTCCTCCCGCCCCACCTGATGGAACGGAGAGCTACAGATGGAGCACGAGAGAAAAGATACAGAACTGCAGCAGCATCTTCGTAGCTTAGACTTCGTTTTGCCCGAAAAGTGGTGGCTGCTTGTAGTTATTTAATTGCAGTGTTTCATCAGATGGTGTCATGAGCAGCAACCTCTGGAAACGAAGGGCCAAATCTGGCACTGCTCTCCAAAATTATCTGGTCCCTTTTAACTTCGTATTTCAGCTGGTTGGCTAAAATCCCTTATTTTGGCTGCCGATCCCTTATTTTTGAGGCTGCTGGTCCCTTATTTTCAAATCTGTAAGTTGACAGCTATGTGCCGGTGCCTTTTCTTTCTTCTTGCAGTTCTATGACATGTATGCCAGCATTCTGAAGTACTTTCCAGGGCCACACACCAAGATCTATGACATTCTGGAAGACATGAGAGCCTACATTGCCAAGAGAGTGAAGAAGAACAAGGAGACCCTTGACCTCAATGCCCCTCGTGACTTCATTGACTGCTTCCTCATCCAGATGGAAAAGGTACCCTTGTTGGCACATGAAATGAGTGGGATTTCCACAGGGAGCTGTAGGGTTAACACAAGGATCACTAAGACGCACATCACTTACAAAGAGATGCGATCTCTGGACTGCCACAGGGGCTCTGCAGATTCTGCTGCTTGCTAGCACACCTTGCTGATAATACACTTTGCAAATGCTTCATGAATAGGTGTGCCACCATTTCAGTCACAGGTGAACCTAGAGTGTGCAGGTGATGGTTACAGGTGATGAATGATATTGGCTTAGGCATTGGTCCTAACTGACTATATCCGACTTCAGCCCGTCCGCTAGAAGTCCAGGAAGGGTTAACCACCAGTAGGGGAGTCCTGCTGATGCACATCAGCTGGTAACTCTCACGGGGTCACCGCTAGGGGGCGTGCCTTAATGATCTGATGGGGTGACATGTGTCCAGCTTGCCTAGTTTCTCTTCACCCCCATCAGACAAGTGATATCCTTCTTCCATAAAAGGACTATAACAGAGGCAGCAGCCCTGAAACCAACTCCCCCTACGTCTCACCCCCATGGGGAATCCTGATGACATTGGCTTCCTGTTTGTCTTCAGGAGAAAGGCAACCCGTCCAGCGAATTCAACACCAAGAACCTAGAACTCACCACACTCAATTTGTTCTTTGCTGGGACGGAGACCGTCAGCTCCACCCTGAGATATGGGTTTCTGTTTCTGATGAAACACCCCGAAGTGCAAGGTAAGGAAGGGAACCAGCACACTGCCGCCAGGCTGATTAAAGCTCAACCTAGCCTGTTGGGGGCTGGGGAGTGAGTAAGTAAGGGGGAGATACGAGAGAGGTGTGTAAAGTTAGGCTTGGTGTGGAGAAAGTGGGCAGGAACAGTTCTAACCCAACAGAGCCATCCAGTGAAGCTGAAAGTTGGGAGATAACACAGTGATGAACTATGGAACTCACTGACACAAGATGTTGTGATGGCCACTGGGACAGATTTAAAAGAGGACTGGACCAACCCATGGAGAATAAGACAAACCATGGCTCTTAATCACGATGGCTATGTTGTACTTTCACTGTTGGAGGCAGATATGCTTCTGGGCCCCAGTTGCTGGGAACTGCAAGTCAAGAGAGTGCTGTTACATTCAGGTCATGCTGATGTTTAGTTGGGGACAGGAAGACCAGGTTGCTGGACTGCCTGACCCAGCAGGGCTTTTTATACATGCTGTTTTTATTCCCTGTATTTTAATAGACTAGGCTTGTTGTTTTTAAGGATTGATTTTTAATTCCATTTGAGTTGAATTAATTATTGAATTGATTTGAATTTTATTATTACGGTCACAGATCAGTTCCAGCTCACTTACAATATCAGGAAAATCATAAAACACAATAGGAATACATTGAATTGCAATTGGGTATAACAGAGACAATTCATATATAGGAGCAGTTAAAAATATATAGTAAATCTTGATCACTAAAATATAACCTAAAATTGTCATTTAAAACCTTAATCATTTTGGTAGTACAGCTTGTTCCCTAAGTTTTATGGCAGTCGCACAGAATTTGGCCACCTTAGCGTGATCTCTAGGTCCTTGTCCTCTACCAGGAGTTCTAGACATTGAAGTTCGGACCCATTTGGAGATTTTTGTATAACAGGAATGATAAATACCGAGCATATATCCCCGTAGAAACGACAGCATAACAAGACATGAGAGACAGTTTCTACCTCCATCAATCCGCAGGGGCAGACTCGTTCCACGTACAGTTTACCCTCAAATTTGCCCTGCAATAAGGCAGATGGCAGCACGTTGAATCTAGCGAGGGTAAATGACCGTCTGTATTTGGGTATTTGTAATTTTGACAAATAATTTGCTGGGGTAAATCCTCTCCCATTATCTTTTATCACTGGGTGTTTATTCATCTCGGTCACGTGGCAGAATTAATCATTTATTAAATGGTTACCTTCTCATATGCTTTCAGCTTTTTGTAATTTTTTTTTACTCCTGTCTTGTTTTAATTTGCGTAAGCTGCCTTGAGTCTGGAGAAATAAAGAAACATTTAGCTAGGTTCAAGCTGAAAACTGAACTGCGTTTTGGTGCTAGAAATCTTAAGTACAGTCATACCTTGGGTTAGATGTGCTTCAGGTCGAGTGTTTTCAAGTTACGCTCCGCGAAAACCCTTAAGTAACGGAGCTATTTCCGGGTTTCGCCGCTCGCGCATGCGCATGCGCAGATGCTCAAAATGATGCAGCGTGCATGTGCGGAAGTGGCAAAACACAACCCGCGCATGCGCAGACGTGCCGTTGTGTCTAGGAACGGGGCTCCGGAATGGATCCCGTTTGCATCCAGAGGTGCCACTGTAAACGGATAGCTCAGGGAGTGGACTACGAGACTCGGGGTCGTGGATTCAAGCCCCATGTTGGGCCAAAGATTCCTGCATTACTGCGGGTTGGGCTAGATGACCCTTGTGGTCCCTTCCGACTCTGATTTTCTGACCCTTCTCTGATCTAAATGCATTGGACAGCAAAAATGCACCAGGAGATTGACCAAGTGATTGGCCAGAACCGTGCCCCAAACATTGAAGACCGGAGCCAGATGCCTTATGTGGACGCTGTCATTCACGAAGTGCAGAGGGTCAGTGACCTCATCCCCATGAACGTGGCCCACTCTGTGATGCGCGACACTGAATTCAGAGGCTACATCATCCCTAAGGTATCCGTTGTGGGGCAGAGGGGATGAAAAGTGTCTGGGACACAACAAAATGGGTTCTTGTTGTTGTTGTTTAAAAGAGATTGCGTGGTGAGTTCCCACCTCCCACCAGTGGAAAGAACGACACATGACACCATAATTAAGGTGAATGGGCTAAAATTGGCCACAACTTTATTGGTTACAGGTAAAAGCGGTATTGGCTTAGGCATTGGTCCTATCAGACTATCCGGCTTCAGCCTGTTTGCATGAAGACTGGGAAGGGTTAACACCAGCAGGGGAAGCCCTGCTCATGCACATCAACTAGGTAACTCCCCCGGGGTCGGGGGGTGTGTGCTTTAGGCCCTGACCTCCATAGGCTTCAGGACGAGGCAACGCCCCCCGGAATCCTTTACCAGACTACCCTTCAATATTTGGGGGAGGTGATGGCGCTCCCCCCCCAAGAGATCTGCATGCCAATGCTCCTACCAATGCCTAACCGCCAATCCCAGGGAAGTTGTGATGATTTGCTACAAGGTAGGCGAAAAACCAAATGGCCGGTGCCAATTTGCCAAGTGCATCTGGCTCACTCTGCCTAATGGCAAGGCTCTTGGCTTAAGCTGAACTACAGCCAGAGGTGGAATGCCTCGCTGACCCCAGACGGATGCCCACAGTGATGCTTCTGTAGAGTGGGGGGACGGGGACCTGTAGATCAACTGACCATTTGACCAGATTGCATGAGATTTCTGTGGGTCAGCTACTCATGTGGTGCCTTCACATTCAGGCAGGGCAGTCTGTAGATGTCACAGGGAGGAGTTGGCCGGTGGTCGAATGTGGCTGGCAATCCATCAGTTGAGAGAAGGGGTGAAGAGCTTCTCTCTCTGACTTTCCCGAATCTTTGCAATTCTGACCTCAATATTCTCTCCCTCTTTTTCCTAGGGGACAGAAATCTACCCTTTGCTCCACACTGTCCTGTTCGACCCCATGAAGTTTAAAAGCCCATTTGCTTTCAACCCAGAGAACTTCCTGGATGAGAATGGGCGCTTCAAGAAGAACGACGCTTTCATGCCATTCTCCTCAGGTAGATAGAATAAGAATAAGAATAAGAATAAGAATAAGAATAAGAATAAGAATAAGAATTTATTCATTTATTTCTACCCCTCCCATCTCGCTGGGTTTCCCCAGCCACTCTGGACTGCTTCCAACAGAATATTAAAATACAGTAATCTATTAAACATTCAAAGCTTCCCTAAACAGGGGTGCCTTCAGATGTCTTCTAAAAGTCTGGTAGATGTTTTCCTCTTTGACATCTGTTGGTAGTGCGTTCCACAGGGCGGGTGCCACTACCGAAAAGGCCCTCTGCCTGGTTCCCTGTAACTTGGCTTCTCGCAGCCAGGGAACCGCCAGAAGGCCCTCGGAGCTGGACCTCAGTGTCCGGGCTGAACGATGGGGGTGGAGACGCTCCTTCAGGTATACTGGACCAAGGCCTCCTCTTAAACCAGGCTTCCTCAACCTCGGCCCTCCAGATGTTTTGAGACTACAATTCCCATCATCCCTGGCCACTGGTTCTGCTAGCTAGGGATCATGGGAGTTGTAGACCAAAAACATCTGGAGGGCCGAGATTGAGGAAGCCTGTCTTAAACACTTTTTTTATTTTTATTTTGGAAATGAGAACCTCTCCCATCCCCTCCTCCTTCACTTTTTGAAGTTGTGAATGTCGGACTTGCGTTCGACCTAGCGACTCTTCTGGAATCGCCCTTCTCCGATGTAATTAACGACCTGAGCCTCTGATAAGGCTCCAAGCACGTTCCCCATTCCGCAGAGTATTCAGCACAGGGAAGGAGCTGAGATAGCATGAGCTACATGCTAAGAGTTTTATTACGAAGCTACGCAGACAGAAAAGAAACATATCCTGTCTGTGTGAGAGCAGAGAGCAACCAAAAACAAAGGAACAGGAACCTCACATCCGTCTCCCGTGAGACTTCCAACAGTATGGAATCTCTGAAATGTAAACAGAGTCTTGTGACTCCAAGAACTGCACAGTGGCAACAAAGAGAAACTAACAGTGAACCTGGGTCTCCTACAGAAAACAAACCTTCACTGCACTGTGGCTTTTACTTGGTCGTTTGTAGTGTTTACACATACCCTACTCCCTAACACGCACCATAATAAATAAATGTGCAAAGGGATGGGGGGATGTTAATAACAAATATATGGGCAAAATCTGCTGGAGGGAAGTATTGGTTGTACGTAGGGCTGCCAACATTGGTCGGTCAAAGTAAGGGACAGGTCTGGGGTTGGAGTGGGGGAGACGATTGGTTCCCTTCCAGCTCTACGATTCTATGAATCTATAAGCCAATTTTACATACACAGTCTGAAGAAATACTTCCTTTTGCTATCCTAGATCTCCTGTCCCTAAATTTCACTGGATGACACACACGCTCACACAGAGAGATCTGCCAAAACAACAACAGGGTTTTAGTCCTATAAGAGAGGAAAACTCCCCTCCCTCCATTCACATGGATTTCAGCTGTTCTATTCACGCCCCAAGGACGTTGGACTTGACCTAAACTTGGCCTCTAACCCCAAAGCCCATGTCTTCCCTCCCTGCTGATTCTTCTCCCTTTCGCCTTGCAGGGAAACGGGTGTGTCTGGGTGAAACGCTCGCCCGAATGGAGCTCTTCCTTTTTTTCACCACCACCCTGCAGAGATTCCGGCTGAAGCCCCTTGTGGATCCCAAGGACATTGACACAACCCCCCAGGAGTCCGGCTTTGCCACCATCCCGCCCTTCTACAAGCTCTGCATCGTCCCGCGTTGAGTGGAAACCAAATCTTTCCTCCCCTGCCACTGTGCTCTTGCACAAGCTGGTCTCTCTGGCTGCTCAGGGAGAGAGGAGTGGTCTTCTTCCCTTTCCTCGCCCAAGGGCTTTTGTAAGGGGCGGCTTCAAGATTTTACTCTCAACTTAGGCCTCGTTCCTACCTGTGGACTGGGCTTCCTTCGGCTGGGTTTATGCCTCTCTGCGTTTATCATCTTTCTTTCCCCATTGCTGCCCTTCCCATCCTCTCCTCTACTGAGCCCAAAGAACTTCAGTGCCTCTTGAATTTCTATCTCCTTGCAATGTGTGTTTAAGCTTTGACCTTACACCTGAAAAGAAAAGAAAAACTTGCAGCATTTGCTTCTGGACTTGTTGGTTCTTATACGCTGGCAGGTCCCAAGAATCGACATGGTAGACCCTCAACCATGGCTCCTGCCTTGTTGCTGTGGACTTTCAAATAAAGCATAATGGAATGTGGGCATAAAGCCAGGTGTCCGTGTTATGTGGCGTTCACACGAGAAAAGCAAAGAAAGTACCGCATTTTTCATTCTTTTAGACGCACTGGATCATAGGACGCACCTTGTTTTAGAGGGGGAGAACAAGGGAATAAAATCTCCCCCTATCTGCTCAGCGCCCCTTCAGTGAAACGGCAGGAGAAACGGAGCCCCTTCCATTTCTCCTCCCGCTTGGCTGAAGGGGCACCGCGCAGCTCTCCTCTCTGCTGAAGCCAGGACAGTCTTGCTGTCCTGGCTTCAGGCGGCTATCCCTGAAGCCTGGAGAGCGAGAGGGGTTGGTGCACACTGACCCCTCTGGCTCTCCAGGCTTCAGCGAAAGCAACGCGAAGCCTCCGGAGCGTGGAGGGAGTGCTCCCTCTGCGCTTCGGAGGCTTCGCATTGCTATCGCTGAAACCAAGGAGCCTGCATTCGCTCCATACGGCGCACACACATTTCCCCTTAATTTTTGGAGGGGAAAAAGTGCATAATATAGAGCGAAAAATACGGTAGTTTTTAGGGGAGGAAAACAAGAAATAAGAAAGCAACGCAAAGCTTCCTGAGCTAAGAGGGAGCGCTCCTCCATCTTCACTCAGGAAGCTTTGCGGGGCTATCCCTGAAGCCAGGAGAGCAAGCGGGATCGGTGCGCACCAATCCCTCTTGCCCTCCCGGCTTCAGTGAAAGCAAGCCTACTGGCTTTTCCCCCCACCTCCCGCAAGAGCCACACGCTCTGTCCCTTCCCCCATCTCCCGCAAAAGCCAGGGATAGCCGTGAGAAGCCTCCGCAGGGCAGTGGGATGAAGGCTCCCCACTGCCCTGCGGAGGCTGCGCGTGGATCGCTGTGATCCCGCTGACTGTCCTGGCTTCTTGCTTGGCCGTGCTTGGTTTTAAACAAAGTGTAAGTGATCTCTATGGAACATGGGTGGCGCTGTGGGTTAAACCACAGAGCCTAGGACTTGCTGATCAGAAGGTCGGTGCTTCAAATCCCTGCGACGGGGTGAGCTCCCATTGCTCGGTCCCTGCTCCTGCCAACCTAGCAGTTTGAAAGCACGTCCAAGTGCAAGTAGATAAATAGGTACCACTCCGGCGGGAAGGCAAATGGCATTTCCATGCGCTGCTCTGGTTCGCCAGAAGCAGCTTAGTCATGCTGGCCACATGACCCGGAAGCTGTATGCCGGCTCCCTCGGCCAATAAAGCGAGATGAGCGCCGCAACCCCAGAGTCAGTCACGACTGGACCTAATGGTCAGGGGTCCCTTTACCTTTAAGGTAGTCTCTATGGGAGTATATTGTATTTACTTATGGGGTATCAGAGTTTTTAGGGGGCTAACCAGGCTGGGATAGTTGGGATAGCAGGCTTGTTGGTTTTTTAATGTCTGATGTAGATTTTTTCAATTTCGTTGTTCTGTATGGGACAATGACAATAAAGATTATCGTATCGTATAGTCCTACTCTATTCTGCCTTGGTCAGACCACACCTGGAGTCCTGTGTCCAGTTCTGTGTGCTACAATTTAAGATGGATATTGACGTGTGCAGAGAAGGGTAACCAAGGCGATCAAGGGTCTGAAGACCAAGCCTTATGAGGAATGGTTGAGGGAATTATACCCAATTTAGCCTGATAAAGAGGAGACTGAGAGGAGATATGATGACCATTTTCAAATATCTTAAGGGCTGTCGTAGGGAAGAAGGAACAAGCTTGTTTTCTCCTGCTCTGGAGAAATGACCAAAATAATGGATTCATGTTACACACACACACACACACACACACACACACACACACCAGATTCTGACTAAACATCAGGAAGAACTTTAGGATTGTAAGAGCTGTTTGACAGTGGAACTGACTGCCACGAGATGTGGAGGACTACCTTTCATTTGGGATTTTTAAGCAGAGGTTGGATTGAAATCTCTCCTGTATGATCTAGTTGAGTTTCCTGCATTGCAGGGGGCCGGGCTGGAGGTTTCTTCCAACTCTGCAATTATATGATTCTATAGCGAGGCAGAGATCTTCAGCAGTTCATGCAGATGGGGAAGGAATATTCCCAGAAATGTTCTGAGAAATGTTGGCTCAGTTAATTCTGAAAGAAACTTACATTGGCAGCTTATTCCTACTGGCGGATGGGGGAAGCAATGGGATTAGGGAGGGGAGAGTGGAAGGCAGAACTGTAGCTATGGGGTTGGGGGTTGGGGACTAGCCGCATTTTTGGCCCCAGTTGAAACCTCCAGAGGGGCACCATTGAGGCTCCCAGCCTGTGTGTGTGTACACAAATGGGTGGGGGTCTTTGACCCAGCTGAAATAAAGCCTAGTGTCACCCCTGGTGGAAAGGGAGAGCCAGTGTGGTGTGGTGGTTAAGAGCGGTAGACTCGTAATCTGGGGAACCGGGTTCACTTCCCTGCTCCTCCACATGCAGCTGCTGGGTGACCTTGGGCTAGTCACAATTCTCTGAAGTCTCTCAGCCTGTTTGTTGGGGCGGGGAGGAGATTGTTAGCCACTTTGAGACTCCTTTGGGTAGTGATAAAGCGGGATATCAAATCCAAACTCCTCCTCCTCCTCCATGTCCCACTTCAACTCTTCTTAAATATACTGGGCTGGGTCCATGCTTGTGGCTTTATTCCTCCAGCTGCCCTGCAGATGGATATTCCTCAGTGGGGGCCGAAATTCTCCAACAATTTGGGGCAGGATCAAAAAGTGTCAGAGAACATCTCAGGACTGCCAGCCTAGCTCTGCGGGACATGATTTAGTGTGCTTCTCCATTCAAGGCTGATTGGCTGGAAAGGGGGGTGGAGTATCTCGCTGTCTAAGCAACGTGCACAGATTACACAAAGCAGATGGTGGTTTTGGTGGCTTTCCCTGCTCAGCCTGCCATTTTCCAAGCGGACTACATTGTGGACCATTTGCTGATTATATAACTTGCATCGAGGCCTGCCAAGTGGCTATGTACCATATTTTTTGCTCTATAAGACTCACTTTTCCTTCCTAAAAAGTAAGGGGAAATGTGTGTGCGTCTTATGGAGTGAATGCAGGCTGCACAGCTATCGCAGAAGCCAGAACAGCAAGAGGGATTGCTGCTTTCACTGCATAGTGATCCCTCTTGCTGTTCTGGCTTCTGAGATTCAGAATATTTTTTTTCTTGTTTTCCTCCTCCAAAAACTAGGTGTGTCTTGTGGTCTGGTGCGTCTTATAGAGCAAAAAATATGGTAGATGTTCACTCAAACCCTGTTCTGCCTTTCCACTTCAAACTGCCTCTTCATAACAAAGGAACAAATTGTTAAGACTATTGGGTTGTTTTGTTTTGTTTGATTTAAACTCATTGCATGCAAATATTTATTTATCTCTCCAAGGCTAAATTCAAATGACCATCCCATCCTGTAAAAAGTCTGAGGTGCCATCTGTGTCCACCTTCTGAGAAAGAAGCTCCTCTGGTCATAGTGGAACTTATTTTTGAGTAAAAGTACATAGAATCTCACTGTTGCTCTAACAAAGTAACCTCCGACTCATTTGCATAATCGGTCCTTTGTTTTATTATGCGTTGAAATTACTTACTACAGTGGTACCTCAGGTTACATATGCTTCAGGTTACAGACTCCGCTAACCCAGAAATAGTACCTCGGGTTAAGAACTTTGCTTCAGGATGAGAACAGAAATCGTGCTCCGGCAGCGCGGTGGCAATGGGAGGCCCCATTAGCTCAAGTGGTGCTTCAGGTTAAGAACAGTTTCAGGTTAAGAACGCACCTCCAGAACGAATTAAGTACTTAACCCGAGGTACCACTGTATATTTTTTAATATATGTATGCGTCTTGTCAATCTTAGCATTTAGATGCCATCTTTATCTCTGACCACGACAGAACTGTGGAAAAAGTATGTGTCACCAAGCTTTATGCAAACATTTCTCTAGCACTGTTAGATCACAAATGATTCTTCTTTCCTTGCATGCTGTGCTTTGCATTCTCTTCTTGGCTGCTGGGGGCTGAGGAGAGGGAGGTGGAAAGTGGAGCTGGCAACCGTGGAGTTAAGAACAGGGCTCTGAGAGACTGGTGTGGCTCAGAAACTCACCAGAGGGAATTCTCATATGCCTGGCATCTTCTAGTCCAGACAGAAAACATCCACAACAAAAACTACAATCTTGGCATGTTGCTCTAGGCTCTGATATTCATTACTTCCCCTGCAGGCTCCAAACTCAAGATAGCACAACAAAATGTCATAATAAATCCATCACACAGCAAAGCAATGCAAGAAAATTACCAGCAAATGCTTTCCCATCTAGATGTTCTAAGCCTTGGGTAGGCAAACTAAGGCCCGGGGGCCGGATCCGGCTCAATCGCCTTCTAAATCTGGCCTGTGGACGGTCCGGGAATCAGCATGTATTTATATGAGTAGAATGTGTGTTTTTATTTAAAATGCATCTCTGGGTTATTTGTGGGGCATAGGAACTCGTTCATATTTCCCCCCAAAATATAGTCCGGCCCCCCCACAAGGTCTGAAGCGTATAACAACCAACAAGTCCAGAAGCAAATGCGGCAAGTTTTTCTTTTCTTTTCAGGTGTAAGGTCAAAGCTTAAACACACATTGCAAGGAGATAGAAATTCAAGAGGCACTGAAGTTCTTTGGGCTCAGTAGAGGAGAGGATGGGAAGGACAGCAATGGGGAAAGAAGGATGATAAACGCAGAGAGGCACAGACCCAGCCAAAGGAAGCCCAGTCCACAGGTAGGAACGAGGCCTAAGTTGAGAGTAAAATCTTGAAGCCGCCCCTTACAAAAGCCCTTGGGCGAGGAAAGGGAAGAAGACCACTCCTCTCTCCCTGAGCAGCCAGAGAGACCAGATTGTGCAAGAGCACAGTGGCAGGGGAGGAAAGATTTGGTTTCCACTCAACGCGGGACGATGCAGAGCTTGTAGAAGGGCGGGATGGTGGCAAAGCCGGACTCCTGGGGGGTTGTGTCAATGTCCTTGGGGTCCACAAGGGGCTTCAGCCGGAATCTCTGCAGGGTGGTGGTGAAAAAAAGGAAGAGCTCCATTCGGGCGAGCGTTTCCCCCAGACACACCCGTTTCCCTGCAAGGCAAAAGGGAGAAGAATCAGCAGGGAGGGAAGACATGGGTTTGGGGGTTAGAGGTCAGGTTTAGGTCAAGTCCAACGTCCTTGGGGCGTGAATGGAACAGCTGAAATCCATGTGAATGGAGAGAGGGGAGTTTTCCTCTCTTATAGGACTAAAACCCTGGACTACATGGAATTGGCGGAAATGACTGGCAGAATCCGTGACCAGGGAGAAGAGTCGGTGGAAGAAGATTGGAAGAAATTTAAAGATTATTTACAGAAACATTGCAAAATTAATGAATGTTAGAGTGATGTTGGATTGAAGTTAAGTGGCTTCTAGCTGTACAGGTTTTAAAGTTATAAATATATCAAGATTAAGGATTAGTATCAAAAGGTTAAGAGAAATGGAAAAATTGGTTTTAAATAGGTAAAAATCTAATGTCATAATATATTAAGACTTAGGATTGGAATTAAAAAGGAGGGAAAGAAATTGCTGAGCTTACAAACTGAACTGGAATACAAAAGAGGGAGGTATGAGGAAGTCCGGGAAACAAGTGAATGTAAAAGAGGTTATGAAAAGACGGAACTATTTTTAACTGTTTTCTCTTTTTTTTTTTTTTTTCCTTTTTTTCCTTTTTTCTATTTTGTATGGTGTATTTTTCTCTGTTTTTGTTAAAAATTTTCTTGTTTATTAATGTGATTTTATTCTTTCTGAAACTTTAATAAATATTAATAATAAAATAAAAAAACCCTGTTGTTGTTTTGGCAGATCTCTCTGTGTGAGCGTGTGTGTCATCCAGTGAAACTTAGGGACAAGAGATCCGGGATGGCAAAAGGAAGTATTTCTTCAGACTGTGTATCTAAAATGGGCTTATAGATTCATAGAATCGTAGAGCTGGAAGGGAACCAATTGTCTCCCCCACCCCCACCCCCATCCCAACCCCAGACTTGTCCCTTACTTTGACCGACCAATGTTGGCAGCCCTACGTACAACCAATACTTCCCTCCAGCAGATTTTGCCCATATATTTGTTATTAACATCTTCCCATTCCATTGCACATTTATTTATTATGGTGCATATTAGGGAGTAGGGTATGTGTAAACACTACAAACGACCAAGTAAAAGCCACAGTGCAATGAAGGTTTGTTTTCTGTAGGAGACCCAGATTCACTGTTAGTTTCTCTTTGTTGCCACTGTGCAGTTCTTGGAGTCACAAGACTCTGTTTACATTTCAGAGATTCCATACTGTTGGAAGTCTCACGGGAGACGGATGTGACGTTAGAGGTTTCCTGTTCCTTTGTTTTTTGGTTGCTCTCTGCTCTCACAGAGAGAGGATATGTTTCTTTTCTGTCTGCGTAGCTTCGTAATAAAACTCTTAGCATGTAGCTCATGCTATCTCAGCTCCTTCCCTGTGTTGAATACTCTGCGGAATGGGGAACGTGCTTGGAGCCTTATCAGAGGCTCAGGTCATTAATTACATCGGAGAAGGGCGATTCCGGAAGAGTCGCTAGGTCGAATGCAAGTCCGACATTCACAACTTCAAAAAGTGAAGGAGGAGGGGATGGGAGAGGTTCTCATTTCCAAAATAAAAATAAAAAAAGTCTTTAAGACAGGCTTCCTCAATCTCGGCCCTCCAGATGTTTTTGGTCTACAACTCCCATGATCCCTAGCTAGCAGAACCAGAGGTCAGGGATGATGGAGGGCCAAGGTTGAGGAAGCCTGGTTTAAGAGGAGGCCTTGGTCCAGTATACCTGAAGGAGCGTCTCCACCCCCATCGTTCAGCCCGGACACTGAGGTCCAGCTCCGAGGGCCTTCTGGCGGTTCCCTCACTGCGAGAAGCCAAGTTACAGGGAACAAGGCAGAGGGCCTTTTCGGTAGTGGCACCCGCCCTGTGGAACCCACTACCAACAGATGTCAAAGAGGAAAACATCTACCAGACTTTTAGAAGACATCTGAAGGCACCCCTGTTTAGGGAAGCTTTTAATGTTTAATAGATTACTGTATTTTAATATTCTGTTGGAAGCAGTCCAGAGTGGCTGGGGAAACCCAGCGAGATGGGAGGGGTAGAAATAAATGAATAAATTCTTATTCTTATTCTTATTCTTATTCTTATTCTTATTCTTATTCTTATTCTTATTCTATCTACCTGAGGAGAATGGCATGAAAGCGTCGTTCTTCTTGAAGCTCCCATTCTCATCCAGGAAGTTCTCTGGGTTGAAAGCAAATGGGCTTTTAAACTTCATGGGGTCGAACAGGACAGTGTGGAGCAAAGGGTAGATTTCTGTCCCCTAGGAAAAAGAGGGAGAGAATATTAAGGTCAGAACTGCAAAGATTCGGGGAAAGTCGAGAGAGAGAAGCTCTCCACCCCTTCTCTCAACTGATGGATTGCCAGCCACATTCGACCACCGGCCAGCTCCTCCCTGTGACATCTACAGACTGCCCTGCCTGAATGTGAAGGCACCACGTGGGTAGCTGACCCACAGAAATCTCATGCAATCTGGTCAAACGGTCAGTTGATCTACAGGTCCCCGTCCCCCCACTCTACAGAAGCATCACTGTGGGCATCCGTCTGGGGTCAGCGAGGCATTCCACCTCTGGCTGTAGTTCAGCTTAAGCCAAGAGGAGGTCCAGCCTTGCCATTAGGCAGAGTGAGCCAGATGCTTCAAGCGGCATGTCTGGAGGGTGAGGACTAGAGGCCAGGTGTTGGAGGGCAGATGTCCTCCCATCATAGCTGTCAACCGCCCCTTATTTGGCGGGAAAGTCCCTTATCCCAGCGCCGTGTCCCGCTGCTGTCCCTTATTGATGATGTCCCTTAAATTTCCCGGGTTTCAAAGGAAGCAGCTCCTCTCCCTCCCTCCCTCCCTGCCGGCCAGGGAGGAGGGAGGCTCCAACTGTGTTGCTTGGCTGCGTTGCTCACCCAATAAGGAGTCTAAGAACAACTGGGGGGTGGAGCTTGCATGCCTTGTGCCGATCAAATCAGCCGCCTTGCCTGGGGACTTGCCTTTGCTCAGTGCTTCCCAGCGGAGAGGTGACGGTGGTTTTCCTTGCTGCATCCCCTTTGCCGGGTTGCTGCGCTGTGGGAACCACCGCTTGAGGCTTCGTTTGGCTGCTGGCTGGGCTTTGTGCCTTTGGCTCGGAGGGGCTCAGAAGTTGAACATACCTGTGCCCCTTGGAAAATCCCTTATTTTGGATGCTGGTCCGTTATTTTCAAATCTGTAAGTTGACAGCTATGGTCTCCATGCACCCTGTAAACTAGCCGCAGCGTGAGACTTTACCAGCTGGGCCCTGGTCATCCTTTGAGGATTGGCTGTTGTGTTGTTGTTGTTTTTAAGTGCTATGTTGGCAGCTTTTGCCAACCTGGCGCCCTTTAGATGTTTTGAAATGCAACTCTGGTCAATCCCAGCCAGCATGGCCATGCGAGACACCTCGAGGGCACCAGCTTGGTGAAGGCTGCTTAACGGATTGGCAAATCTTTAAGACTTCCCTGGAGGGCGTCCAGTTCTTTTCTTTTGCCAAATACCTGCCAATAACAGTAGCCAACATCACCTCATCCTGCCTCCAACAGGTTGCTTCTGTGCCGGATGAAGACTCAACTGTTGCGGTTGGGGGCAGATGTTGGTGGCAAGGCACAAATCTGTGAATGTTGCTAAAGCCACTTCCAACCTCGGGAGGATGTGGTGTTGCGGGCTCCACGCCCCCAACACGCGCACGGTGGCTGGCTTGCAGTCCCGCGCCATCTGGGGAATCCTCGGGCTGTGCCATCCAATCGGCTGGCTCGGGGTGTGTGGCTTGCCCCATTTAAGGCAAGTGCGGCCCGGGGATCCCCCTCTTTGGACCGCTCAGCTGCCTGGTTTCCCACCCGCCTGCCCTTCAAGGTTTCCTTCTGACCTTGCTATGGACCTCGGTTGGTCGCCGTTAAGGGGCCTGGTAGGATTTTTTCCACTTGGCAAATTGGCACCGGCCATTTGGTTTTTCGCCTACCTTGTAGCAAATCGTCACAACTTCCCTGGGATTGGCGGTTAGGCATTGGTAGGGGCATTGTTATGCTATTGGGGGGGGAGCGCCATCACCTCCCCCAAATATTGAAGGGTAGTCTGGTAAAGGATTCCGGGGGGCGTTGCCTCGTCCTGAAGCCTATGGAGGTCAGGGCCTAAAGCGTGCCCCCGACCCCGGGGGAGTTACCTAGTTGATGTGCATCAGCAGGACTCCCCCTGCTGGTGTTAACCCTTCCCAGTCTTCATGCAAACAGGCTGAAGCCGGATAGTCTGATAGGACCAATGCCTAAGCCAATACCGCTTTTACCTGTAACCAATAAAGTTGTGGCCAATTTTAGCCCATTCACCTTAATTATGGTGTCATGTGTCGTTCTTTCCACTGGTGGGAGGTGGGAACTCACCACGCAATCTCTTTTAAACAACAACAACAAGAACCCATTTTGTTGTGTCCCAGACACTTTTCATCCCCTCTGCCCCACAACGGATACCTTAGGGATGATGTAGCCTCGGAATTCAGTGTCGCGCATCACAGAGTGGGCCACGTTCATGGGGATGAGGTCACTGACCCTCTGCACTTCGTGAATGACAGCGTCCACATAAGGCATCTGGCTCCGGTCTTCAATGTTTGGGGCACGGTTCTGGCCAATCACTTGGTCAATCTCCTGGTGCATTTTTGCTGTCCAATGCATTTAGATCAGAGAAGGGTCAGAAAATCAGAGTCGGAAGGGACCACAAGGGTCATCTAGCCCAACCCGCAGTAATGCAGGAATCTTTGGCCCAACATGGGGCTTGAATCCACGACCCCGAGTCTCGTAGTCCACTGCCTGAGCTATCCGTTTACAGTGGCACCTCTGGATGCAAACGGGATCCATTCCGGAGCCCCGTTCCTAGACACAACGGCACGTCTGCGCATGCGCGGGTTGTGTTTTGCCACTTCCGCACATGCACGCTGCATCATTTTGAGCATCTGCGCATGCGCGAGCGGCGAAACCCGGAAATAGCTCCGTTACTTAAGGGTTTTCGCGGAGCGTAACTTGAAAACACTCGACCTGAAGCACATCTAACCCAAGGTATGACTGTACTTAAGATTTCTAGCACCAAAACGCAGTTCAGTTTTCAGCTTGAACCAAGCTAAATGTTTCTTTATTTCTCCAGACTCAAGGCAGCTAACGCAAATTAAAACAAGACAGGTGTAAAAAAAAATTACAAAAAGCTGAAAGCATATGAGAAGGTAACCATTTAATAAATGATTAATTCTGCCACGTGACCGAGATGAATAAACACCCAGTGATAAAAGATAATGGGAGAGGATTTACCCCAGCAAATTATTTGTCAAAATTACAAATACCCAAATACAGACGGTCATTTACCCTCGCTAGATTCAACGTGCTGCCATCTGCCTTATTGCAGGGCAAATTTGAGGGTAAACTGTACGTGGAACGAGTCTGCCCCTGCGGATTGATGGAGGTAGAAACTGTCTCTCATGTCTTGTTATGCTGTCGTTTCTACGGGGATATATGCTCGGTATTTATCATTCCTGTTATACAAAAATCTCCAAATGGGTCCGAACTTCAATGTCTAGAACTCCTGGTAGAGGACAAGGACCTAGAGATCACGCTAAGGTGGCCAAATTCTGTGCGACTGCCATAAAACTTAGGGAACAAGCTGTACTACCAAAATGATTAAGGTTTTAAATGACAATTTTAGGTTATATTTTAGTGATCAAGATTTAATATATATTTTTAACTGCTCCTATATATGAATTGTCTCTGTTATACCCAATTGCAATTCAATGTATTCCTATTGTGTTTTATGATTTTCCTGATATTGTAAGTGAGCTGGAACTGATCTGTGACCGTAATAATAAAATTCAAATCAATTCAATAATTAATTCAACTCAAATGGAATTAAAAATCAATCCTTAAAAACAACAAGCCTAGTCTATTAAAATACAGGGAATAAAAACAGCATGTATAAAAAGCCCTGCTGGGTCAGGCAGTCCAGCAACCTGGTCTTCCTGTCCCCAACTAAACATCAGCATGACCTGAATGTAACAGCACTCTCTTGACTTGCAGTTCCCAGCAACTGGGGCCCAGAAGCATATCTGCCTCCAACAGTGAAAGTACAACATAGCCATCGTGATTAAGAGCCATGGTTTGTCTTATTCTCCATGGGTTGGTCCAGTCCTCTTTTAAATCTGTCCCAGTGGCCATCACAACATCTTGTGTCAGTGAGTTCCATAGTTCATCACTGTGTTATCTCCCAACTTTCAGCTTCACTGGATGGCTCTGTTGGGTTAGAACTGTTCCTGCCCACTTTCTCCACACCAAGCCTAACTTTACACACCTCTCTCGTATCTCCCCCTTACTTACTCACTCCCCAGCCCCCAACAGGCTAGGTTGAGCTTTAATCAGCCTGGCGGCAGTGTGCTGGTTCCCTTCCTTACCTTGCACTTCGGGGTGTTTCATCAGAAACAGAAACCCATATCTCAGGGTGGAGCTGACGGTCTCCGTCCCAGCAAAGAACAAATTGAGTGTGGTGAGTTCTAGGTTCTTGGTGTTGAATTCGCTGGACAGGTTGCCTTTCTCCTGAAGACACACAGGAAGCCAATGGCATCAGGATTCCCCATGGGGGTGAGACGTAGGGGGAGTTGGTTTCAGGGCTGCTGCCTCTGTTATAGTCCTTTTATGGAAGAAGGATATCACTTGTCTGATGGGGGTGAAGAGAAACTAGGCAAGCTGGACACATGTCACCCCATCAGATCATTAAGGCACGACCCTAGCGGTGACCCCGTGAGAGTTCCCAGTTGATGTGCATCAGCAGGACTCCCCCTACTGGTGGTTAACCCTTCCTGGACTTCTAGCGGACGGGCTGAAGTCGGATATAGTCAGTTAGGACCAATGCCTAAGCCAATATCATTCATCACCTGTAACCATCACCTGCACACTCTAGGTTCACCTGTGACTGAAATGGTGGCACACCTATTCATGAAGCATTTGCAAAGTGTATTATCAGCAAGGTGTGCTAGCAAGCAGCAGAATCTGCAGAGCCCCTGTGGCAGTCCAGAGATCGCATCTCTTTGTAAGTGATGTGCGTCTTAGTGATCCTTGTGTTAACCCTACAGCTCCCTGTGGAAATCCCACTCATTTCATGTGCCAACAAGGGTACCTTTTCCATCTGGATGAGGAAGCAGTCAATGAAGTCACGAGGGGCATTGAGGTCAAGGGTCTCCTTGTTCTTCTTCACTCTCTTGGCAATGTAGGCTCTCATGTCTTCCAGAATGTCATAGATCTTGGTGTGTGGCCCTGGAAAGTACTTCAGAATGCTGGCATACATGTCATAGAACTGCAAGAAGAAAGAAAAGGCACCGGCACATAGCTGTCAACTTACAGATTTGAAAATAAGGGACCAGCAGCCTCAAAAATAAGGGATCGGCAGCCAAAATAAGGGATTTTAGCCAACCAGCTGAAATACGAAGTTAAAAGGGACCAGATAATTTTGGAGAGCAGTGCCAGATTTGGCCCTTCGTTTCCAGAGGTTGCTGCTCATGACACCATCTGATGAAACACTGCAATTAAATAACTACAAGCAGCCACCACTTTTCGGGCAAAACGAAGTCTAAGCTACGAAGATGCTGCTGCAGTTCTGTATCTTTTCTCTCGTGCTCCATCTGTAGCTCTCCGTTCCATCAGGTGGGGCGGGAGGAAGGGGGGGGAATAGTGCCCGAAGTAAATCCACAGATCAGACCTTCTATGCTAGTCTACCACTACAAATCTATGTGGGAAGCGCTTGCGGTCCTTCCTCTGCTTTCCCCCTTTATGGTTAGCCCTTGGAACACCTGCCCGCGCCTCCGCCTCCTCCTCTCTCTGAACTGCTTTCTCTATGGCTGCCCTCGCTCTCCTCTCAAGGCTCCTCAGTCCCGGTGGGGAGGGGCTCCTGGGGGCCGAGGCTGGTGAGAAGAGGCTGGAGGGGGGCGGGGCGGGCAGCCAAGCAACACAGTTGGAGCCTCCCTCCTCCCTGGCTGGCAGGGAGGGAGGGAGAGGAGCTGCTTCCTTTGAAACCCAGGAAATTTAAGGGACATCATCAATAAGGGACAGCAGTGGGACACGGTGCTGGGATAAGGACTTTCCCACCAAATAAGGGACGGTTGACAGCTATGCACCGGCAGCTGACCAGGAATGCCTCCTGAGGGTCCGGTGAGCTTCCTTGCAAGCCAAGGAGGCCCCACTAGATGATAAGTAGCTGTTATAAACTACGGCTGGCTTTCAGACCCTTGTCCAGCCTGGTGCCCTTCTCCTCTCCACATGAGCTTAGACTCCAAATCCCATCAGGCACAGAGCACAGTACACAAGGCCAATGCTCAGAGATGATTAAGATGATGGGAGCTCCATTCCAACAATATTGGGAGGGTGTCTGATTGGGAAATGGATTCGTGCTCTGTCTGCTTTGAGACTGGGTACCTGAGACCAGGCGGTGCTCATCTCCCGGAAGCTGTCGTTCATCATCTTCATCAGGGCCTGGAAATCCTTGTCTTCGTAGTCAAAGCGGTCGCCAAAGACGATGGAGCAGATAACGTTGGAGACGGCACGGCTGAGGGTGAAGGTGGGGTCGAAAGGCTTCTCTGCAATGCCAGGGAAGGAAGACGCATTGTGCTGAAGGGGCCAAGATATCTTGGGAAGTGTGAGGAACTGTGGAACACCTGCAAAGTCCTCTCCCAACCTATTCTCAAAAGATCATCTGCAGTACCCTACCCAGAACTTAAGATACCTATTGCTGACCAAGCTACTAGAATGAAGAACTTCTCTGGCTATGTATGTGCTCTTCCCTCCCTGCCCGTTATCCTTCTTGAGCCCAGAAATTCTCACTGCCTTTGGGACAAAAAGGCTTCCCTTCCCCAGCCTGTCTGGGCTTTAGAGCTCGTGCTTCTGCCCAGCCTGGTGGGGCTGCTGACCTCCTCTTCCCTGCCCTTCACTTGGCCTACTCACGGTTGGTCTTATGAAATTCCTCCAGCAGGAACTGAGCTTCCTCCTTGATCCGATCCTCAATTGTTTTTTTCCCCATGCCAAAATTCCTCAAGATTGTGAGGGAGAAGCGTCGCAGCTGCTTCCAGCGCTCTCCCTCAGAAAACACCACCCCTGCAGGTATGGGGAGGAGAAAGGGGAGAAGGATTGAATAGCAGCCAGGAAACAGGAGACACAAGACTCCTGTGCTGCAAGTCAGACCACCCTGGGATCCTCCTCCTCACCATAACCATCAAAGGTCCTTTGCAGCGTGGCGTTGGTTTTCCTTCCGCTAAATTCTTCTGCCTTGTCTATCAGGGCCTCCTTCACAGCTTCATGTCCACAGAGGACCACAATCGGGCGATTTCCAAAGTAGACGGTGAACACTGGGCCGTATTTGTCGCGCAGCTGCACAGGAGAAAGGCCAAAGGCTACTTGTTAAAATTTAAAAAACAGAACAGTCTTTAATCCACTGCTTCTTTTTCTTACAATTCATTGGCACTCTTACAAAAGCCGACAGCATAAATGTTGGAAACAGGCTGGGCCTTTGTCTGATCCAACAGGGCGGTTTGAACATTCATCTCTGTGTTAAAATATGTTCACTGAACTCCCTCAGACTCTTATTTTGTGGGAAGGAGAGATATGCCAGGCAGGAGGCTTTCGGCACATGCTCAGAGGGCCTCTACCTGCCACCAAAATGCACTTTATCAAGCAAGGGGACAAAATGCATGAAAGCAAGTTTCCATTCCTGTTTTGATAAAATTTTGAGACTGGTATGTCCCACACAGACTGGCTCTGCAAGTGTCAAGATGCTCGTGGGACAGTTCTGCAAGGTTAAATGCCATTTCTGACCAAACCCTCTTGTGGTGTGTGGACAGAAATGGCTTTAATGTTGTCTTTTGAAATGGCTCTGACCCAGAAGGCTCTAAAACGTGATTCTAGGCTGAAAATGCAATTCTAGGCTTCATCCACAGAAGTCTAGTGTCCAGATCAAGGGAAGTCATAGTACTGCTTTATTCCACCTTGTTCAGAGCCCACCTGGAGTCCTATGTCCAGGTTTGAGCACCACAGTTTAAGAAGGATATTGACAGAGGAGGGCAACTAAGATGATCAAGAGTCTGGAAGACAAGCCTTATTTATGAGGAATGGTTGAGGGGCATATTTAGCCTGGAGAAAAGAGGACCAGGAGATGAGATGATAGCTTTCTTCAGACACAACTAAACAGCTATCACATGGAAGACGCAACAAGCTTGTTTTCTGCTGCTCTTGGAGGGCTTGGACTGATTCAGACTGCAAGAAAGGATATTCCAACTCACAATTGCATGCCCAGGCGGAGACCCCGCCCCGACTCCCAAGAGACCACCAGAAGGGAAGGCCACCAACTTTCCAAGACTCAGGAGTATCTCTCCGGTGGTCCTCCCTGGCCGTAAATCTCCCTCAGTCGAGAGAGACCGGGGATAAGCGACCCCTCCCTCCTGAGAGGAACACACTTGTCTTCTGGCATGTCATAGAAGAAGAGTCAATCGTAGTTCTAAAACTACGATGGGGATGCGGGTGGCGCTGTGGGTAAAACCTCAGTGCCTAGGACTTGCCGATCGCATGGTCGGTGGTTCGAATCCCCGCGGCGGAGTGAGCTCCCGTCTTTCGGTCCCAGCTCCTGCCCACCTAGCAGTTCGAAAGCACCCCCGGGTGCAAGTAGATAAATAGGGACCGCTTACTAGCGGGAAGGTAAACAGCGTTTCTGTGTGCTGCGCTGGTGCTGGCTCACCAGAGCAGCTTCGTCACGCTGACCACATGACCCGGAAGTGTCTCCAGACAGCGCTGGCCCCCGGCCTCTTAAGTGAGATGGGCGCACAGCCCTAGAGTCAGACACGACTGGCCCGTACGGGCAGGGGTACCTTTACCTTTACCTTTACCTATATACACAGAATCCATCAGCATGTCTGTGCTCTTTGAGCACCAGTACAGAAACAGAAGAGAAGACTCCCTGGAAAAGACCCTGATGTTGGGAAAGATGGAGGGCACAAGGAGAAGGGGACGACAGAGGACGAGATGGCTGGGACAGAGTTCTGGAAGCTACAAGCATGAGATTGACCAAACTGCGGGAGGCAGGGGAGGACAGGAGTGCCTGGCGTGCTCTGGTCCAGGGGGTCACGAAGAGTCGGACATGACTAAACAACAACAACACAGAAACAGCATCACAAACAGAAGTGAAACTAACTTCCAACAGTACTCCAACAGTACTGAGACTTCCTGTCTCACGCTCTCTCAGACACTCATGTGATATACGAAACATAGTGCTACTACTGGAGCAGCACGGATGGATAAAAATCCTAACAATATTCACCTCAAGCGGACTGGAGTGAAGCCTGCTCACTCGCGGTCCGCTCGGCCGGCCGCTACCTCCACCCAAGCCACTGACTGGATTATTTGAACTGGGGTTTGGCAGGGTTAGGGTTAGGGTTAGACTGGCATTCCCAGACACTTAATCCTTTTTTTTGTGTGGACCATTTTGCTGCTCAAAATCCTCCCCACAGCGTGACAAACTGTTTCAAAAGGACTGGAACAAATTTATATTTTACATGAAAGAAAATTGTAAACATTTGAAAACGTTTGCAGGCTTGAATTGAAATGTTTTGTAATGTAAATATAAGGAACTGAGTTACCGATAACAATGTGAAATACTGCAATAAGATAGAAGGTAAATAAGCGATTATAGAAATGTGAAGAATATAGAAAGATGTGTGGAAGTCATCAAAAGGGAGGGAAGGAGGTCGATGCTCTTATCCAGTAAAAACCTATAGAATTATGTAACAAAATGTGAATATGATAAAAGTGAAAAATTCGATAAATATCACTGGGGGGGGGGGACAAAATCCTCCCCACTGCCTGATCCATTTCTCTTTGCAGGGGAAAATAAACCACAAGACCTCCAACGAGGTGAGTTATAGCTGCCGTGAGGATCCTGCTGTTGAACAAAAAGTAAGAGTACAAATATTTAAATAAATGGAGACATTTATGAAATATGATGCCAGCAACACCTGAACAAAAAGCCTCACTATGTTGACACACCAGTATTTCATCACCAGGGGAAACATAGCTGAGCATTGAGGGGCAGTGTTGCTTAACAATTTCCACTGTAATGCGCAGTTCTTTCTCAAAGGCAAATGGTTAAAGCCAAGATCAACCCGTCTCCTACTCTATCTCCCAACCTCAATTCCAACCCACCTCAACCAACCCTCTCAACTCTCCTGTCTCTCTTCAAATCCTCTCCTTTTAAATGCTCCCTCCTGGAACCACGGCCAATCGGAGGCTGCCGTTCATTAACCATTTGCTGGCAGGGAAAGAAAGAAACACTTGTTGATCCAACCGGTCCAGCAAAACCAACTTTTTCGTCACACATGGTTTCAAGTCCCATGTTGGGCAAAAGATCCCTGTATTGCCAGGGTTGGACTGGATGACCCTGGTGGTCCCCCTTCCAACTTTACAATTCTAGGATTCTATCCAAATTTAGAGTCTCCAAAATGCTGCCTGTTGTTTTTTAGTCGTTTAGTCTTGTCCGACTCTTCGTGACCCCCTGGACCAGAGCACGCCAGGCCCTCCTGTCTTCCACTGCCTCCCGCAGTTTGGTCAAACTCATGTTAGTAGCTTCGAGAACACTGTCCCATCCATCTTGTCCTCCGCCGTCCCCTTCTCCTTGTGCCCTCCATCTTTCCCAACATCAGGGTCTTTTCCAGGGAGTCTTCTCTTCTCATGATGTGGCCAAGTATTGGAACCTCAGCTTCAGGATCTGTCCTTCCAGTGAGCACTCAGGGCTGATTTCCTTCAGAATAGATGCGTTTGATCTTCTTGCAGTCCATGGGACTCTCAAGAGTCTCCTCCAGCACCAGAATTCAAAAGCATCAATTCTTCGGCGATCAGTCTTCTTTACGGTCCAGCTCTCACTTCCGTACATCACTACTGGGAAAATCATAGCTTTAACTATTCGGACCTTATAGTTAAATGCTGTATAGTTAAATGCTGCCTACCAGAATGCAAAACAGGTTGGAAAGTTTAAAAAGAAGGGGAGGGTTGTGAAAGATAAATGTAGGAATGCTGTTGAGTTGTTTTAAAAAAAAAGAAAAATGCTTTCGGAAGTTAGCAAGAATCATGCTTAGCTTGCTGAGTGCTGAAAGTGCACCTCAACATTTGGTCCTCACAACAACCTTGCAAAGGTAGGCAAGTGGATTTACTAGTGTTACTTCTACTTGCAGTAACGCTCTTTTGGCACCTCCACTTTCCCCAGGAAAACCTGCTCTTTAAAGCTGAACAGGAACAAACAGCAATTTGGCTTTTTTGAGGATTGCAGTTTGCTCGATTCCGTAGTAAAGAGCGGGCTTTCATGGGGAAAGCACCAGGGCAAAATAGGGAAAGTGTTCAAACAGGGAGCTTTCAAAAACAGACCTGTGCCAAGAAAGGGCAACACAAAGGTAAGAGTAGAGGAACCCTAACAGAGTTTTTTTGTGTTATTTAACCAAGCTGGCATCAGGCAAATGGGTGAACATATGGATCCAAAGCAAAAGATTACCAAGTGTGTCAACTCTCCTTTGTAAAAAAATAAAATTTAATGCAGTCTCTGCAAAAAACAAACAAACATAGCATTGATGTTATAGTGTCATTTTACATCATCTTAAAACATTAATGGGTCATTGTAGGCTGTCCACAGACCTGTTTGGAAACGGGTGGGAGAAATTTGCCATCTACTTCCCTTGTGTATGACAAGAAGGGGAGGCAGGTTTCATCAAAGGTTTCTCTCTTTATAAAAGCTTTTGGACAGACAGGGCAACGGTCGTCTAATCTTCCCAACTAGAGGCAGGCAGGCAGGGATACAAGGCGAGAGATGGAGGAAGGTCTTTTTGGTGAGAGGCAGAGAGACAGGAATATCCAGTAAGCCACAAAGAAGACACAGAGATGCTTAGTGGGGGAAGCACTGTATTTTGAGCATATTCCTGTGCAAGAGAAAGGGTGGAGATGGAAGAGGAGAGAGATGGAGGCAAACTGATGCCTCCATGCATCTCAATTATTTGAATTTCCTTTGACTCCTGGGTGCTCTGTTCCTAGAAGGGCTAGAGGAGAAATCTGGTTCCGCTTTCATTGGAAGGCTAATCTACCAACCTTTCACTTTCCAAAACCATGCACAAACTGAAGCACACGGATCCAGGTTCTGCAACGCAGATCTCCAGCCAAACAATGACAAATGAAGACACCACAGGAAAGGGTGCGTGCAAATGAAACTATTCAGGGAAATCACTTGAAAAATGTGCACATTAGTCAAAAGGGCATGCAAGGGGAATGTGTTTATAAGGAGACATTTGCACTAAAATGCTGGTAAATTTCCACGAAGATTTCTTTTTAAAAAAATAGTTTGCAAATTTCTCCAGAAATACCGAGAACTGAATTTAAGGTTGGAAAACTGAGAAGCAGAGTGCCAAAATTGACTGCACCTTCTGCCCCTGGTTCCCAGAGGCAGTAAACTCACCCTGAGGAGGGATTTCAAAGTTTCTGATGACTTGATCTGCAGGAAATTTCCAATCACAGGGAGCGGCATGGGTCCGGGGGGCAGCTTCCCATGGCTCGATATGCTCCTCACTGCTGCCGAAATGAGGAGCCAAGTCAGGCAGATGACAAGAAGGAAAGTTACAATGCTGGCTGGGTCCATGATGGAGGTCACTACCAGTCTGTCGCAGTGCAGACAACTGTCCCATGTTGACAGGGTTCTAGATACTGAATCAAGGCTGGATTTGGCCCCACCTTCTGCATTATGTAACTCCACAAGGCCAACCTGTTGAGCGCTTTAATCCCAATAAACCTATGCCAAAAATTAATCATCTATTTCCTGGTTATCAGGATTGTGAATATTTGTTCCAGGAGCACGAGAGTTTGTGTGCACATTCTTCGTGATGTGGGTAAATGATTTCCATGCCAATTGACTTTAAACTTTTTAATCTAGTGGTTTCTAGTCAAAGGTCATGTTGTCCGCCTTTGAACTCTCCTGATAATTGCTTATTGCTTCCAAAGTTGTTATGAAATTTTATTTTTGATGGTGATTGCAAGACTAAAAGCCTCCTTTGAGTGGAGGGGCTGGAAGGAACAAGGAGTGAAGAGAGGCCTGGCTGGAGTAGAGAGGGAAGCAGCCAGAAGCTGAAGACGGTTGCTCATGGTTAACGTATTCTATGTTACAGCTAAATAAAAAATTGTTTTCAGCTTGCAGTTTCCAGCTTTCTTCACTAATACAAGGAACAAAACAGGGGTATCAAAAATGTGGCCAGCGAACTAAAGTGCAGCCTACAACAGCTGGACTATACTAGGAACATCTATAACCTGCCGCTGTGGAGCAGAGCGATTAGGTCTAGTGAAAGAGATCCCACCACCTGTGGAACTTGACATAGACTTTTGTTACATGATGACTGGGAGCGTGTGTTAGGGCGACTTCCTGTACTGCTGCCCAGCTGCGCACTACTCAGACCGGAGGCAGATGTACCCGGTTGCTCCAAAATGCTAGGTGGAGTGTCTGGAATACAATCCTGCGTACCAACCATTGAAGCATTCAATAAATCTGGGAAGGTCAAGCCAAAAAGGCGTCGGCAATGCTGGGAGTATAAGAGAGGGACGTGTTTGTGACCGAGCTGTAAGTACCTGCATGAGTGGGGGAAATGCCTGGGCAACCATCCGGCCACAACTTGTTTCAAAGGTAAGCAGCCCTTCTGGGGCGGCAGGGGGCACTTCCACCAGGGTAACCGTAGTGCCCCCAGTCCCTCCCAGAGTGGGGCCAGAAACCAGTATTAATACTAACCTCGGTCTGGCCTTCTCACCAATTAAACTTCAGCCATTGAAAGTCCTCCTTGATTTATATCCAAACAGGAATGCCACCAGATATCTGTGGGATGGGTTTCCCCTCGGCTTTAGAATCCCTGTGTCATTCACACCCAGCTCCAGTAACCCCCCTAATCAGAAGTCAGTAAAGGACAAGCCAGAAATTGCAAAAAAGAAAATATTTAAGGAAATTGCCGCTGGGAGGGTAGCTGGCCCCTTCATGGAGCCTCCTTTTGAGGATTTACACATTTCACCATTAGGTATTGTCCCCAAGAAGGCCCCGGGAGAATTCCGCATGATTCACAACCTGTCCTACCCTAGGGGGACGTCACTTAACGATGCAACACCTCAGGAACTCTGTTCTGTGAAGTATGTCTCCTTCGATCAAGCGGTAAAGCTTATTCGGGGATTTGGGAGGGAGTCCTACTAGCGAAGTGTGACATTGAGTCAGCCTTTCGTCTCCTCCCAGTTCATCCGGAGACTCCATTGGCTGGGTTTTAAATTTAGGCGTATTTCATAGATAAAGCCATGCCCATGGGTTGCTCAGTAGCCTGCGCAGCCTTTGAGACCTTTAGCACATTTCTGGATAGGGCCCTTCACTTTAGAACAGGTGCCAAAGGGGAGGGGCATTATTTGGAAGACTTTATTCTCGTGGCAAGTAACCCGCCCAACTGCATAGCGTTGCTACAAGCATTTACATCCTTGGCCGGGGAGCTTGGTGTCCCTTTGGCGAATGATAAAACTGAGGCTCCAGTCACAACCAGGACCAATTTGGGCAAAGAGCTTGATACAATCGCACAAGCATCCCGCCTACCCAAAGAAAAGTTGTTGTTGTTGTTTAGCCGTTTAGTCGTGTCCGACTCTTCATGACCCCAAGGACCAGAGCACGCCAGGCACTACTGTCTTCCACTGCTTCCCGCAGTTTAGTCAAACTCATGCTGGTAGCTTCGAGAACACTGTCCAGCCATCTCGTCCTCTGCCGTCCCCTTCTCCTTGTGCCCTCCATCGTTCCCAACATCAGGGTCTTTTCCAGGGAGTCTTCTCTTCTCATGAGGTGGCCAAAGTCTTGGAGCCTCAGCTTCTGGATCTGTCCTTCCAGTGAGCACTCAGGGCTGATTTCCTTCAGAATGGAGAGGTTTGATCTTCTTGCAGTCCATGGGACTCTCAAGAGTCTCCTCCAGCACCAGAATTCAAAAGCATCCATTCTTCGGCCATCAGCCTTCTTGATGGTCCAGCTCTCATTTCCATACATCACTACTGGGAAAACCAGAGCTTGAACTATACGGACCTTTGTTGGCAAGGTGATGTCTCTGCTTTTTAAGATCCTCTATTACGTGCACCTAGGGTGAGTGGGCTTACCTGGCCTCAAGCTGGGGATGGGGCAAGGGTCAGTAAAGAGCTGATTCACTTCTGCCAGGGTTACTTTTTTTTCTTGCCAGGCCAGGTTCTTCTCTGGACTTCCTCAGGTTAGTTCCTCATGTCGGGAATCAAGCCTTTATCAGGAGAAACTGGCAACTCTCCAGGCACCCGGCTTGATCTCCTGTTGACCTCCCTGTCTGCATTCCCCAGCAGGATACAGGCTAGGTCGCGATAGGCGATTCTTCTCAGCGTGAGAAGAACACACCCCCTCTTTCCTGCCCCCCCGGCAGGGGAAAGAGATAGACAGAAACGTATTTACAGTCCTTTATTTCTGTCTTTGCAGCATTACAAAAGCATGACTGCTCTCTTCAAGCTCCAGCAGTCGAGACACAAACACTTCCTGTACTTCCTGTACAAGAGCAAAAGGAAGAGCTCATATTACACTCTGAGCTAATTCCGGTGCATTGCCCTGTGAATTGACTGTCCCTCTGTTTCCCACGGAACAGTCCTAACATTCCATCATGTGCTGTTTTCAAGCTCGCAGCTCGCAGCTGCATTGCTTTTATATCGTAACACCTCAGTGGGGTTTGGGCCTGCAATGCGCCCTGCTGTGCCCCTTGCAGGTGGCACCTCTCCCACAGCTTTGGGGGTGGGGTGGGGGCCCTCTCCCTGGCAGCAGAGGCCTCAGAGCTGCTCTGCAGCTGGCCAGGTGAGCTCTGGGCTGCTGGCAAGGCCTCTGTTTGTATCTAGAAGAAAGTCCATAAGTCGAAGCACCTACTGAAGGTCGTAACTGGAATTGTACGTGAGTGGAGCCGTATGTAAGTAGAGTTTCCACTGTAGTTAGAATGGGGGACTGGTGAGAAAATGCTTAGACAGGGGCCAGCAAACCTTTCCAGCAGGGAGTTCTTCAGACCTTGTGGGGGGCCAGACTATATTTTGGGGAAAAATATGAATGAGTTCCTATGCCCCACAAATAACCCAGAGATGCATTTTAAATAAAAACACACATTCAACTCATATAAATACATGCTGATTCCTGGACCATCCACAGGCCGGATTTAGAAGGCGATTGGGCCGCATCCAGCCCCCAGGCCTTAGTTTGCCTACCCAAGGCTTAGAACATCTAGATGGGAAAGCATTTGCTGGTAATTTTCTTGCATTGCTTTGCTGTGTGATGGATTTATTATGACATTTTGTTGTGCTATCTTGAATTTGGAGCCTGCAGGGGAAGTAATGAATCACTGGGGAACAATTTTTTACTTTTTGAATGTTGTCTAGATTTCTACAACTGATTTAGGGTATTTTTGCACTGCTGAATCAGGAAATGGCATCCGTTTCTCTCCATCAGGTCAGGTTTACTGTAAACTGAATGGTGGGCATTGATAAAGGTAAGTACACGTAAATTGCATGTTGCTTCACCATTTTTCAAACTTCAGGGCTTGAACTTCCGTTTCTTGGAACTCCAGGAATGCCCAGCGGCAGGGAGGTCTCTCTTCAGAGTCCAACAGTAGTCAGCCATCATGACTGTGTCCCAGCGACCCTGATACCTGGTCCCCATCTCTTTCATGTCCTGATGGAATCTCTCCCCTGCTCGTCACTCATTGAACCCAGGTTCTCAGGAAACAGGTCCATATGTGAAAATAGGTAGTGCATCTTGACCCTCATGTTGCAGCCCAGGTTTCTGAAAGCAGTCAGCATGTTGTTGACAAGTTCTGCGTAGTTTCTGGCCTTATTGTTGCCAAGAAAGGTCTTCACTACCAGAACAAATGCCTTCCACGCTTCCAGTTCCACTTCGTTCATTGAGTTTCTGAACTCTGGATTTCTGATGAGCTGACGGATCTGAGGACCGTCAAAGATGCCAGCTTTCAACTTCTCCATGGTCAATCCTGGAAAAGCCTGGCACAAGTAAGTGAAGCAGTCACCATCCTTGTCCAGAGCCTTGGTGAACTGCTTGATTAAGCCGAGCTTGATGTGCAGCGGTGGGAAGAGTATTCTGTCTCTGTCCACCAGAGGGTCGTTGATGATGTTCCTTTCTTTGCAAGGCACCAATTCCTCCTGCACAGGCCAGTCCTTCTTCGTGTAATGCTGAGCACGGTCCCTACTATCCCACATGCACAGAAAACATGGGTACTTGCTGAAGCCAGACTGTTGTCCCAACAAAAAGTTCACCATCTTCAGGTCAACACAAATAAACCACTTATGCTGATCATAACCAATTTTCTCCAGCACATACTTCACCGCTTCATAGTTCTCCTTCAGTGTAGTCGAGTGAGCCAGGGGTATAGAGGCAAACTGGTTGCCGTTGTGTAGCAGAACACATTTCAGTGATCGCTTGCTGCTGTCAATGAACAGTCTCCAATCTTTGGGTTCGTACTGTGGCACTCCAAGCTTGAGCAGAAGCTGCGCAATATCTGCACAGTACACCAAGTTCTTCTCTTCCGAGAAAAAACGGAGGTACTCTTGATGCCTGTTGCGGAAGAAGCTGATGCGAGCACTGTCAGAGAGGAGGTTTTTTTTCCTTCAGTCTGGATGCCAACAGTTCGGCAGAGTCCTTTGACAAGCTGAGGTCGCGAACTAGATCATTCAACTCCTTTTGGGAAAATGGATGTGGAGCATCATCTTCAAGAACCACTTCTTCTTCTTCATGTCCTTCAACACTGGAGGCATCTTCGTCACTAATGTCAGGAAGTTCTCCGAAGATAGGCACTGGAATTTCATCACAATGAGCTACAGGATGACGTGCTGATTGAAGATCAGGATACTTGAGGCTGCTCTGGTTATGGAAGATTTCGAGGTTTTATGACTTCAAACTGATCCCTTTTCGACATAATCACCCAGAACTATCGGACCTGAATACTTCTTGTCATTAAAATAATCATTTCCAATCAAAACAATTATTCGACATGGCATTTTACCCCCACCAACTTCTTCTAAAATGCTCCACACAAGCGTACATGTGAACAAAAACGTAAAAAAGACATGTGGCCATAGCTCAAAAACTTGACCTGATCGAGCAAAACCAATGTGATTTTTGGATTCAGCGCATCAGTTTCATCCTAAATCAACTGAAAAAACGCAGACAACAAATTTGTTGTTGACCAGTGTTATGGTTGGAAGTAGAGGTTCCACTGTATTCAGGTGTGGGAGGCGGCGGGAATAAGAAATAGTAAAGGAGCTTCTCCCAGCTTCAAGGGTGTCTTCTCCACCCTGCCACCCATTCTAACAATTCAGGGGTTTGGGGAGAACAAGGAGCCTATGGAAATAACTTCCCCTTCCCCAAACAATATATGCGTTGTTTGCTCCCTCCAAGAAAGCAGGTTGGTCCAAATTTACGGATAATGGGCAATTTCTCCCATCCCACCCGCTGAATTCCTGACCCTCCAGGACACAAACAGCCCTTCTGCTGGGACAGGGGATGCATAAACTGATGGGCATTGCCCAGCTGAAGGCTCTACAGTGGTACCTCGGGTTACAGACACTTCAGGTTACATACGCTTCAGGTCACAGACTCTGCTAACCCAGAAATAGTACCTCGGGTTAAGAACTTTGCTTCAGGATGAGAACAGAAATCGTGCTCTGGCAGTGCGGCGGCAGCAGGAGGCCCCATTAGCTAAAGTGGTGCTTCAGGTTAAGAACAGTTTCAGGTTAAGAACGGACCTCGGGAACGGATTAAGTACTTAACCCTGTTAGGATATTTCCGTTCCACCTTAAAAGGGAGCAGGATGTTTGTGTCACAGCCTGCGTATTTCCTGTTCACAGGATGTTTCTGTTGTGTCTATACTTTCGTTTCTCTCTCTGTGTCTGAGACACTGAAGCAGGCAGTCATGTTTTCTTTGTTCTGATCAACGCTGAATAAACTTGTAAATAATGCTCTCCTGAGTGCATCTTTCGCTGTGCATTATCTGCTGATAGAGCGTGCATGAGCTCTGGAATGTGGCAAGCTATTTCTGGAAGCTCGTCTCGCTAATTGCTGATACTGCGTGTCTATGGGAGATCGATGGATGTCCGGAGACGACGTGGAGTCATGATTGACTTTGTCTCCCTGGCAGTATCCCAACAAACCCGAGGTACCACTGTTCTTGGTTTGGGGCAAAAACTCATGTGTCTGTGTTTGTGACATGTTAGGCTCCTCTGTGCAATGGAGAGCTGGATTTGGGCTGAGAGGGGCCAATCGAGCGAAAGTGACCTTTGCTGTTGCCTGAAGTTCATTCGTGCTTATGTGGCGGGGTCAGTAGAGAGGGTACATTTGTCTGGAAAACCAAACCAGTCCTCAAAATAAATTCACCAGCTGAGTGGGGAAGAGGGGGAAGATGGTGAGAATTGTTTCTACAGCAGCCAGTCTGGTGAGGAGCACCTGGGAGCATAGCTGTCAACTTTTCTTGTGAGGAATCCTATTTGGAATAAAGGAATTTCCCTTTAAAAAAGGGAAACATTGACAGCTATGCCTGGGAGGCGGGGGAACTACCACAGGACTGGTCTCCTGGCAGTGGGGTAGCTGTTGTGAGGCAGGGCAAGACATCAGCGAAGGCCGGGGGCGTTACTGGAGTGTGTAAGTCCTCCTGGTGGACCAAAACTGCGTCCAGCACAGCTCTTGCAGTATCCCAGTGGATGAGAGCCAGGCTCTGCAGTGAGCGAGCGGCTGGCGGGCATAGCCTGCGAGGGGCCTTCTGAGTCCAGGGTCCTTGGATAACCAGCGGCAGAGCAAATAATAATAATAATAATAATAATAATAATAATAATAATAATAATATATCTTTATTGTCATTGCCCCCTTCGGGGACAACGAAATTACTTGACTGCTCCATAAAAACACTAATTAATCAACACAGTATAATACAGCAAGGGAGATTAGATGACTTTCAAAGTCCGGGCTTCCCATTCAGGGCCGAGATCGCTCTGGAGAAGAAGCTGTTCTTAAGACAAGAAGGCTCGTTCTTGTCTTCATCGTCCTGTATCTCCGTCCCGATGGCAAGAGCTCGAAGAGACAGTGACCAGGATGCGATGGATCTTTTACTATGTCCAGTGCCTTCCTATGGCACCTTGTGGCATAAATCTGCTCTAAGGTAGAGAGTGGGCAGCCAACAATGCTCTCTGCTGCCTTAACAACCCTGCACAACCCCATCCTGTCCTGGGTAGTACAGCTTCCGTACCACACACATAAGCCATAAGTGAGCACGCTCTCAATGGCACAGTGATAGAAGTGATATGAGGGGGGCGTGGCGTGCAGGGCCTTGCAGAGCCAGGCAAAGGCCCGGGCCAGGTAGACAATGTGCCCCCCCTTTTTTACCTGGGGATAACTGAAGTCTTATAAATAAGTAAGTATATAAACAATTTTCACAAAAGATATGCTGACAAATAATTTTATTTCAAGACTTGAACCATATCTGCATATAAAGGACAAAATGGAAAATATAGATATACAATTGTTGTTGTTGTTTAGTCATTTAGTCGTGTCCGAGTCTTCGTGACCCCCTGGACCAGAGCACGCCAGGCACTCCTGTCTTCCACTGCCTCCCGCAGTTTGATCAAACTCATGCTGGTAGCTTCAAGAACACTGTCCCACCATCTCGTCCTCTGTCCTCCCCTTCTCCTTGGGCCCTCCCTCTTTCCCAACATCAGGGTCCTTTCCAGGGAGTCCTCTCTTCTCATGAGGTGGCCAAAGTATTGGAGCCTCAGCTTCAGGATCCGTCCTTCCAGTGAGCGCTCAGGGCTGATTTCCTTAAGAAAGGAGAGGTTTGATTCTTCATGCAGTCCATGGGACTCTCAAGAGTCTCCTCCAGCACCAGAATTCAAAAGCATCCATTCTTCGGCGATCAGCCTTCTTCATGGTCCAGCTCTCACTTCCATACATCACTACTGGAAAAAGATATGTACAATAGTGCTTTTTAAAAATATATAGGGGAAAGGATTATTTTAAGTATTTACATTTAAAAACGCTTTCCTAGCGTTGTGAATATGCTGACCGAAGCCCCCTTTGGAATCAGAGGCCCGGACCAAGTGGCCCATATGGTCCCCCTCCCCCGTCTGGGCCTGGTGGCGTGTGCCCTTATAGGCAGGAGATAGCCACTTGGGCACACAGAGCAGCATGCCCACCCTGCAGCCGGGGGCAGAGCCAGTCGCCCGTGGGGGTGGAGCAAGCCACTGATGGCGGACATTTAGCGAGCCACCCACCCACGACTCCCAAGCCTTTCCCAGGTGTCAAAACGAAGGGGGAAGGGGATAATGCCGCCAGCAAATTAGCACAGCTCCCTCCCTTCCCGTGACGGCTCGGGGTAGGCTTGGGAGTCACGGGCAGGCGGCGTGCCAAATGTCACCCCCTCAGCGAAAACACCCAGGGCGGACCACCCCCACCGCACCCCCCTCCTCTGCCCCTGTGGATGACCTACCTGCTGGCCGTGGGACTGATGCCAGGAGACTGGGTAACAATACTGACTTAACTGCTCCTGGCAACCCTGAAATCGGTGGCCGAGAAAATATTTCTAATTGTTTTTAGTAAAGGGACCCCTGACCGTTAGGTCCACTCTGGGGCTGCGGCGCTCATCTCGCTTTATTGGCCGAGGGAGCCGGCGTACAGCTTCCGGGTCATGTGGCCAGCAGGACTAAGCCGCTTCTGGCGAACCAGAGCAGCGCACAGAAATGCCGTTTACCTTCCCGCCGGAGCGGTACCTATTTATCTACTTGCACTTTGACGTGCTTTCGAACTGCTAGGTTGGCGGGAGCAGGGACCGAGCAACGGGAGCTCACCCCGTCGCGGGGATTCGAACCGCCGACCTTCTGATCGGCAAGTCCTAGGCTCTGTGGTTTAACCCACAGTGCCACCCGTGTCCCATGGTGAGTACCAGCCCTTAAAAAAACAAACACTGAAATTATTATGAAATAAGATAAATCTCTGAGCTTTTGTGGACACTATCCATGCATGGATTATTAATATTTTTGCAAGAACATTGAGGTGTCCAGAAATGTTTTCCTCAGCAAATGTCAACCTGCTCAAGATGCCAGGTCCTGAGCTGAGATACCAGACTCCAGAAGCACTCGGTGAATCCCTGGAGAAACGTGTAGCCTTGTGGGAAAACTGCAAGAGTGCAAACTCTTGATTCCCCCCATGGGCCCCTTCCTCAGCTTTTTACCTACCTGCAGCTGTATCATTTTCTCCAGCGATGGCCCTCTGGAGAAGAGCTCCACGTCCGTGAGTCGGAGGTCCAGCTCCACCAGCCACACCCGGATGGTCTCTTTCTCCAGCTCAAACTTTTCCCACTGGTTCACAACATGCTGGCAGGGGGAAGGAAGGGCAAGAACATATCAAACACCGCCCTTTATTCACAGAGCTAAGAGATACCTGGACAATATTGTAGGAGGAACATCTGTCCTGAAGTAGCTATTAAAAAATGGCCTAGGTTTTCCCTGTGGAATCGTATGATGCATGATCCACAGCACTGGGTCATAATAATAATAATAATAAATTTTATTTATACCCCGCCCTCCCCGGCCAGAGCTGGGTTCAGGGCGGCTAATACCAGTAAAATTACAATATAAACATAATGGGGGGGGCACGCAATTTAAAATATAGTTTTAAATGCCACTTAAAATGCAGTCTCATTTTAATAGTAGCCCATAGATCAAAACCATAAGGGGAGGGAAACATAAGGGTCAGACTGAGTCCAAACCAAAGGCCAGGCGGAACAGCTCTGTCTTGCAGGCCCTGCGGAAAGATGTCAAGTCCCGCAGGACCCTGGTCTCTTGTGACAGAGCATTCCACCAGATCGGGGCCACGGCCGAAAAGGCCCTGGCTCTGGTTGAGGCCAGCCTAACCTCCTTGTGGCCCGGGATCTCCAAGATGTTTTTATCTGAAGATCGTAAGGTCATCCATGGGACATACCAGGAGAGGCGGTCCCGTAGGTACGGGGGTCCTAGGCCGCATCCGTAGCCGCCTTTGCAGAGCCACGGTCCCAGGGTTTGAATGTGGCCCTCGAGACCTCTCTATGTGGCCCACAGGACCCTTCCCAAGACACACCCCTCATTGGTCCCGATTTCCTTGGGTGGAATAATATATCCTTGAGCTCTGGCAACGGAGGGAGGAGAGAGACAGGTGTTTGTGAATGTGCATAGGAGAGCCATAGCTCAGCACAGGGTGTCTGCCTTGTAAGCGGAAGGTTAAGTCCGTGGCGTCTCCAGACAGGGCTGCCTAAAATCCTGCAGAGTCGCTGCCAGTCAGTGTACACAGTACTGAGTTAGATGGAGCAAAGATCTGACAGCTTCCTGTCTTTCTGAACCAGCCCAGTGTATAAAGTTAAAATTCAGGTTCGCTGCTCCACAGACCACTGGCATGCGGCCCTCGAAAGCTTATTGATGTGTACTAAGTTGAATAGGATCCAAAATGTAGCAGTCTGATTGGTCCAAGAACAATAGGATCCAGAATGCAGCAGTCTGATTGGTCCACAGGAGCCACCCAATCCAACTCCAGGGGGAAGTGAATCCGCAACCTGATTGGCCTACAGGAGAATCCCTGAATTAGACAATCACGTGGGGCCCATTGTGTAAATAATGCATATAAAGCAGACATTCTGGGGGAACTTCCATTCCTCACTACTATGAGCTGAATAAAGAGCATGAAATCCACTCTCGACTCTGAGTATATTTCAGTTATCCCGGAGGGAATGTGGACCTCAAGGTGACTGTGGACCTCCAAGGTCCAGCGCCCACCAGGACCCACCTTCAGCCTCTTGCAAATGGCAGCCGTCCGAGCCTGCAGGTTGTCCCAGCGCTGGTTGACCTCTTGCACCGTGGGCCGGAGCTGTGGGCCGATGGCCCCGCTCCTCACCAGCTGATGGTATCGCCTGTTGAAGGATTCCAAAGGAAGCAGCTTGTCTGAAACTTGTCTTTGTAGCACCTGAAAGGGAGCCATGCAAAATGCCAGTGGGCATGTTGCAGGAATATCCGCCCTCCCTTCCCCACAGGTGGGCGGGGTTTGCGGCACCGAGCGAGGCTCACCTGGGCGGGTGCCACCCACCTGCTTGACATAGCTGTCAACCGTCCCTTATTTGGCGGGAAACTCCCTTATCCCAGGTGTTTTGTATTGAAGTTCTCACCCTGGCCACCAGGAGTATTGTGTATGTAGTTTTCACTCAGGTCCACGTCAGTTATTTTAGGCGGGAAACCCTGGGTTGTTGTTGCTACATTGTTGACAGCCGGCTGCCTATAAAAGCAGGCCGGCTGAGCTGTTTGCTGTTCAGTTCTGTCCAGCTTACAAATAAAGAGCTGCTCTGGAGAAATCGCTGTGTCGTCTGCTATGTTTGCCCACAACTTAACACTGGCGATGGAGGTGGGATCGATGGACATCAGAGCACAGCCAGATGCAGCCACCCTCTGAGCAGAGCTGAATCACTGAGCTGAATCACTGAGCGAAATCACTGAACAGAACCAATTCAGAGCTGACTGTTCTGGCTAGAGCACGGTGTTCCATCCATCGCCCTTCACGCCGGCATCGGAATCATGGCTTCACTTGTGCCTCTACCGCCGTTTGCGCCAGCCTCTGAATCATGGGACTCCTACCTTGCTCGGTTCGACTGCTACCTCCAAGCCAACGAGCTGACGCAAGTATCACAGGAGCGTAAGCAGGGCCTATTCCTCAGCCTCTGTGGGCCTGAGGTGTTTGAGACGGCCCGAGCATTGGTTGCGCCTGAAGCAGTCCAGGCAACACCGTGGGACACGATCCAAGAGAGGCTCCGCAACCACTACGCACCAAAGCCGTCCAAGATTGCTGCCCGCCATGCGTTCTACCAACGGAACCAGGCAGAGGGGGAGTCAATCAACAACTACACCACTGCCCTGCGACAGGCTGCAATGCACTGCGAGTTCCGAGACTTAGACGATGCCCTGATGGATCGAATCGTCTGCAGGGTCCGGGACATCCATCTGCAACGGCGTCTCCTCGCCAAGCCAGACCTCACGCTACAGAAAGCCATTGAGGAGGCTGTGGCCTCAGAAGCTGCTGAACGCTCCGCCCAGGAGATCCGCAAGTCCAGCAGCCCACGTCTTGCTAGGAAGCCAGTTCCAGTGCATCACGAAGAGGCCAGCAGTGATGAGGGATCCTCCAGTGAAGACGATGACGTGCACCAGACAAAGCGGGAGTGCAGGAAGTTCCAACAAAAGTCCAAGGGCCAACCGGAATGTGCCGGCTGCGGAGGCAACCATTCCCGTGCCAAGTGTCGATTCAGAGACGCCATCTGTCGGACGTGTTCCAGAAGGGGCCACATCGCTAAGGTCTGCCGATCGGCTCCGTCTGACACCCCCCCTTCACCGACTCGCAAGTCCAAGTCTTCACTCCAGTCTGCCAAGGAAAGCTGTTTCGCTCTCACCAACTGCCGCTGCCCGTCTGGAACCACGATTGGCCTGCCCTGTCCATCATGTCTTGGAGCACCATCAAAAGACTGGTACCCAGAGTGCCCAAAAGGCAACTCGACTCTCACCGCGTACACCTGAGAGACTACCAGGGAAACGACATTCCCGTGGTAGGCGTTGGCCGGTTCCGGATCGCCTTCAATGATTTTTCGGGCCTGCTCCGACTGGTGGTGGTTGAAGGTCAGCGGCCAAGCCTCCTAGGGCTAGACTGGTTTGATGCCCTCGGCCTGGAAGTCACTGGCATCAACTGCATCTCTAACGCAGAGACTGAGGGTCTGGTCAAAGACTTTGCCGAGGTTTTTGATGGCACTTTGGGGCAATATACAGGTACGCCCATCTCCTTTAGCCTTGATCCACAAGTCGCCCCCATCAAGCTAAAGCCACGCCGGGTTCCCTTTGCTCTCAAGGCTAAGGTGGATGAACAACTGGACAAACTGATCGCCCAAGGACTTTTGGAGCCGATTGACCACGCCAAGTGGGAAACCCCCATCGTCACGCCTGTCAAGCAGACGGGTCGGTGAGAATCTGCGCTGACTACAAGTGCACGATCAACAAGGCACTTCAGCAGCACGCTTATCCGGTTCCTGTTGTCCAACTCCTGCTGCATTCCCTGGGTGAGGGTAAGGTCTTCGCTAAGCTGGACCTTGCCCAAGCCTATCAACAACTGCCCGTCGATGATGCCACTGCTGAAGCCCAGACGATCGTCACCTACCGAGGGGCATTCCGTTGCCGCCGGTTGCAGTTCGGGGTGAGTGTGGCTCCTGGAATCTTCCAAAGCCTTATGGAGCGTCTCCTGCAAGGGCTTCCGGGTGTGGTACCATATTTTGATGATGTCTTGGTGTCCGCAGACTCACACCAGCAGCTGTTTGAGCGCCTCCGTGCTGTGCTGACCAGGTTCCAAGAGGCCGGGCTCAAGGTAAAGAGGGAGAAGTGCCAGAACTGCTGTTCCACAGGTGGAGTTCCTGGGCTATCTTATTGACGCCTCCGGCCTTCACCCGACCACATCCAAGATCCGCGCTATCCAGCAGGCCCCCATCCCAAAGAACAAGACAGAGTTGCAGGCGTTCCTGGGGCTGCTGAACTTTTATAACATGTTCCTGCCCCACAAAGCCACGGTGGCTGAGCCTCTTCACCGACTCCTCAGCACAAAGACGCCTTGGTCCTGGGGTCATCGGGAGACGGCGGCCTTCAACGCGGTCAAGGCTCTCCTTTTATCGGACAGTGTGCTGGTACAGTACAGTGAAGCCAGGCCGCTGGTCCTTGCCTGCGACGCCTCACCTTTTGGCATCGGCGCTGTCCTTAGTCACCGTTTTCCAGACGGAAGAGAAGCACCGCTCGCCTACTTTTCCAGGACGCTATCTCCAACGGAACAGAATTACAGCCAGCTCGACAAGGAGGCACTGGCACTTGTGGCTGGAGTGAAGAGGTTCCATGAATAACTCTATGGCAGGACGTTTGACCTCATCACTGACCACAAGCCGCTCCTGGGCCTCCTCGCCGGTGATCGTCCAACTCCACCGGTCCTCTCGCCGCGCATGCTGTGATGGACTGTTTTCCTGGCTGCCTACCACTACCGGTTCGTCCATCGCCCGGGGAAATCGATGGGCCATGCCGACGCCCTCAGCCGTTGCCCTCTTCCAGCGTTTGTGGAAGACCCGGCTCCAGCTTCATCGCTCCTCCTGATTGAGGATCTTCCGGCAGCGCCTGTATCGGCTGCCACTGTGGCCTCCGCATCTGCCCAGGATCCGCATCAGCCGTGTGCTCAACTGGGTGTGGAGGGGGTGGCCACAAGGGCCTTTTGCATCGGAGTTCCAACCGTTCGCAACCAGACAACATGAACTCTCGGCTCATCGCGGCTGTCT